AAGGACTTCAGTCAATTGGATACATCCGGCAAGGACTTGGCCAAGGCGGTCCTCAGGAGCGCAAGCACCGCACGATCTGGGGGAAGGAGGAGGAGTAGGAATCATGTTAGAGGCGAAGTTGTGAGATGGTGTTGTTGATCCAAGAGAATGATGCTCAAACAAGCATAAAATCGAATAAACTCCTTGTATGGTCCGGATAGGTTGTTGATATGAAAGCCCAATACAGACAGCCACCCAAGTAACTTCCGATGTTGTTGAAGGGTGGGCAAGGAAGGTATATGAATGAATGGAGATGGTCGACGAAAAAAGAAATGTTGGTCGGGATAGGTGAATAGTAGTAGTAGTACTAGTCGCGAGCTGTACGACGAACAGGAGGGTGTATGTATGTATTGACGGGAGGTGGCTCAGGCGGGTGATATGACGAACAAACGTCCCGGCAGCGTCTAGTTAAAAGTAGCTCGGAAGCAAAGACATGCTTCGTGTGGCATAGAGTGTTCGATGGCCTTTTTCTGGCGGGGCCAAACAGCTCTGTCCCTGACGCGAAGCATCCTTGGTGATCACTAGCGGCGCTCGAAGCCTGTCACCCACGCCCGCGCTTGCAGACTAGTGCACCGGCCACTAGCTGTGTGGCGCAACGTGTGCCTATTTCTGAGTCGTTGGAATGGTGGGTCCACAGAGGGCATGCACAAACGCGCCAAAAGCAAAGGCGTCTCGGGAAAGCTTGCACCTTGGAGCGAGAGGTGGCACTTGGCTACCCTGCCGCATGCAACCTTGTGCTTTATTGGTCCGACGGCTGGGTGTGGCAAGGATGGACAAAGAGTGGTCGTCATGCCACTCCTTTGCGGCGGCGGAAGCAGCAGCAGCACCAAGGGACAAGCAGCAACATCCCTCGCGCATGCGACACACGGTTCGATGGGGGCGTCAGATCTGCTGCTGGGATGCTCCTTGACAGCGCTGTGCAGGCTGCAGCTTCGTTTCGCTCGGTGGTCAGCGCTGATTTGCCGCCCAGGCTCCGTACTCTCGTCTGTTTGCTCTGCAGAGATGAGGAATGACCAAGCCATGTCTTCGTCTCAGAATAATTTACGTTGCTGTGCAAATGGTTTGTTCGTCGCAAGCGCCGACGAGCAAGTTACAGCATACTACAGCCTTGCAGCTCGCTCAATGCTGCATGTCGTCTCGCAAAACTTGTGCGTCTCCCCATCGATGATTATGAATTCTACTGATGGGAATGTGGCACGCCAATTTCTGTTTTGCAACCACCCCAACCTTGCTGTCTGCTTTCCTTGATGCTGAGTCTCGTGGTCGGCGGGTGTGGCATAACTATCTGCGCCTATTCGCTTGGAAAAGAGATAGTGTGTGCGGTAGTGCGTGGTATAACACATGGCTATTGTCGATCGTTCTTCCAAGATTTGACGTTCTCGAAGATTTGGGCTGCGAAGAGGCTTGACGCTTGGCCCGGCCTGCCTTGGGTTCGTGTTTAGGAGCCGCGAGCCGCCGATTGGAATCTTGACAGGTTGCAAGTTTCAAGAAAAACGATGCCTATTGGTGCACGGAAATTGGCCCTCCCGGTCCTTTCGATACACAAGAGTCAGGCGCCATGGCGCCCAAGCAAGAGAGAAAAAAAGCAGATCCTTTTGATTGCAAGCGTTCATTCTCATTTGCTGGAAATTTGTCGAGGCAGCCATATTGGGAAGTAAATCCTTTGCAGTTACGTGTACACGTACGATCAGCCTCGCAAGTTGCGCCTCTAAAAGCTAGGATCAAACGTGAGCAGACTCCAGGCAGCCAGAGGAAAATCGACCTGTTGGTCTTGCCACGGAACAGGTGTACTGTACGAGAAGACCCTGCCTGCCACACGAGTACCGTAACGCAGCTGTTGATCTCTGCCCTCCTTTGCTACGCAGGATCGACCATCAGCCCCCTAGCCAGCCCGCGGGTTGCATGCAGAGTGTGTCCACCAGAACGTCATGGCACAAGGGAAGAGGATGAGGTGGACCGAAAAAGTCAAGGGTTGGCAAGGCGCTTCTAGGGGCATCCAGACTCCCAGACCGCATGCAAATGACTCAACAGCGCAGAAGGCAGAAAAAAGAAGATGTGGACGGTGCAGAGAAATGCAAGCACCCTCTCCTCCACTTTCACGATGAGACCAGTCTACTTGCAGCAAGTCCCCTGCCTATCCAGACGCGTCGTCAAAGCGTAGTTATGATACACGTATTATTGCACCCGCGAGCCTCATCCGCGACAACCGGCGACAACCCGCGCCTGGGACCGTGACTGTGACTGCTTTCTGGTACTGCTGCAACCAGACCGATGCGCTAGGATTCGGGATGCTCGACGATAAGCACGCATAAACTCACTCATTCTGTGACTGTGACAGCGTGGGCGCATGCTTCCCGACCAATACCAAGCACATCCCATCAGTACATGTCGTCTTGGGTGGGCTGCAGATTCAACGACAATCGTCGTCCTGTGCCATCTGGAGCGAGCTGTCGTTCTGCAGGTGCAACTCCGGTACCTCAGAAACCAAAATATAGCCCATGGCACTATTCATGCATCTCACGACTAGTATCGTGTGGGCGCGGCGGTTGGCACGGCTTTGCAAATTGTATCGCTAGATCCATGGCAATCTCAATTTTGGGACCTTCGAAACTCGAGTGTTGGCAGCTTGGAAGACAAAAACACGTCGAACGAAGTTTGGCGCTAGGGCCGCTTTGGGCGTTGGTTTTGGCTGTCCGCTGGTTGCTCTCACGCCCGTCGCCCAGCTTTCTTGCACGTCGGAGCCTTTTGAGTTGTTCGAGCATGCCAACGCTTACACCGCTCCCTTGTGCACGATGCACATCCCCCCTTTCATCGTCCGTTGCGCTAAGAAGACAGCTCGAGAAACGGTTTGAAGATCTAAACCCGCAGTGTCCACTTAACCAATCAAAAGTGTCTCGACGTTGGTAGTGCTTGCGCATACCGCTCCCAGCGGTCAGCCCACAGGTCGATGGCCATAGGCCCATACCGACCTTGGTCGTGGTGAGGTGGCTTTGAAGTCGATCAACGACACTCGATGGCTTTTGATGTATAGCAGCAGTCTCTGCAGAGGCCACTGCATGCAGTAGTCGCGTTCGGTCTTGCCCTCTGCCTTTCTCTCTTCCTCTCCTTGTCTCATGCTCGTTTCAATGAATCGGTTGCAATCGAAGAAGATCATCTTACTTCAACAGCCGTCTCCACGAACCTGTGGTCATGATATTGGGAGTTCCATACATCAGAGACAGCCTATCAGACACCAATATGTCGAAGTGTTCTCGTGCTCAACGGCTAATCTGGTATCCATAAGTCACAACAAGCATTATTTGCTTCCTCTCCAAAACACGTCAACAGTCGGATATACCAAACTTCCCGTTTCATGTCTCTCTTGTCTCTCTTGTTTCTCTTTTATTAACATGCTTCTCTGCTTGTCGTAGTCGTCCAGCCGTTGCCATACTCCGTGTCCAAGCGTTTCAATCATCGCGGACTGCGCCAACCATTCACTCCACCTTCCCGCCGTTGCCTCTCTCAAACGGCAGTGCCTACAAGACCCCGTCCGTTCGTCGCTACGGGGCCGACAAGTGCCGTGGACAGAGAGGCGAATGACACTATCGATTGCGACCGTTGCTACAATTCTCATGCGACGCAGCGCCCCCTTGCAACGATCTTGCATACAGATCTTGCGCCCACTCCTCCACCACACATCACTAGGGAGATGCAGGGAACGGGTTTGACGTCCGCCAGCCATGGAGGGGCTCTCCACTCTCCAAGCGCTCGTGCAGACGCTCGTCGTGCGAGGCACGCTCAGCTCCGTGAAGCAAGGACGTGGCCGTCTGCTCATCCTCTCACTCTTCGGCCGTACTCGTCAAACGTCCTGACACAACCCGTTCCTTTGAGGGAACACCAAAGAGTACGTTTTCTCAAGACAGTGTCTGAAAGGTAAAGGGGTCGATGTTCAAACACAGTTCCCTTCTGGTGAACAATATCAAACTCCCAGGGGAAACGCTCGCGTACAGTTCGCAATGAGCATACCATAAGCAGAAGATCTCCGAGTACGGAGCGTTTATGATCAAAGACACTGGGAACACCATGTCTCCAATCTTATTGTCCTGCTCGGTTGCCATCCTGCCAGAAGAGCTTGTTTGAGCCACATCGCAACGACGACGACAACAACATACCAATTCGAAGCGGCCGTTGAACGACCCATCAGTGCACTCATGGGGTGTGTCCACTGCAGATTGCTCAAAACACTTCAAGCTCAAGTCATATCAAAGGATTGTTTATTGGGCAACAACGCTGTTCCATCGCTCCATCACACCGCTGACTGACCTGAGTCGGTATAGATGTCTCGGTGACACGTGCGGCTCAAGGCAATTTATCGAACGGCTTTTCCAGAAGATCGGTCGAACACGAAGTGCGAATACGGCCGCAACTTGACACTGTGTCCTAATATTCTATATTGTTGTTCTACTTCATTTCCACGTTGCTGACTGAACTCTAACTAATTGTTACAGCTCGGATGTTTGTGCCGCGAAGGGCATCGACATCAAGAGCAGGCCCCACTGAGACAAAATTTGAGACGTCCGCATCCGCCTTGGCCGTGCAGTCTCCTCGTTTATATATGTCTACTCTCAAACAATAGATTGCTGACCAGGCACGCGACCGTGCCGAAGCGACAATAGTCAGCTTGGGTAAGGTCAGCAAAGAAGATTGAATAATCCCTCTCTACAGAATAGAATAGGAGCGGTGGGTAACAAGGTGAGCAACGCGGTGAGCCGCTCGTTAGGGCGTGGATGTTGTTGTCTTGCTGGCCTTAAGACAGCAATATCTTGGCAATGTGACCGTTCATGATGCTGATCTCACTGGATATTTCTGTTTGTAAGAGATGCCTTTGTAGGACTGCGGTCAAAACAATGTCAAGGATCGACACAATTTACTTCTCTTCCTGTCTCCCTTGTAATAGTGACAACGCTGATATACCAGTTGTCTTATCTGGTGTTGTGAGGAGGGACGGGTCCTGGGCGGGAAATGAATGGATGTTTGAGAGCATCTGTAGGTGTAATCCTTCTCACAGGGTCGACAGCAAGACACTTGTCCAGAAGGTCGGCAAAGAGGTTCAGCTCTTTGGCATCCGCGGGGCTCAACCCCTTGGAGCTGGCGAACAATCGTGCCTTGAGCTCCTTGGCAGGTACGGTCCTGGTGATGTTCATGCGACGTACCACTTCTCGACGAGTAACATTGTCGATTTCCTGGCTCAAGAAAGTGCCATCGGGCTCGAAGTGTTGGGGCCAGAACTCTGATCTCTTGAGCATGCGGTTTGGTATCTTTCCGCGACATTCTAGAATACCCTTGAGCATCTGGTTGTTGGTCGAGCCAGTGAAGCAAATCTTGCCGGTGTACAGCTCGAAAAGTGTGCAACCAATACTCCACATGTCGATGGCATAATCGTGCTTGATGCCGAGCATGATCTCTGGAGCACGGTAAAAGCGAGAGACAAGGGCATCAGTAACGTCGTTTTCATCAGCAGACATGGCAGAGCCCAAATCAGCAATCTTGAGCTGGTTGCGCTTCTCGTTGACAAGGACATTGTCAGGCTTCAAGTCAGCGTGCAAAATCTCGCACTTCTTGAGAAGAGTGAGGCCAAGGAACATCTGCAGCGCGTACTGGCGCACAGCTATAATGTTGATGCCTATGTCACGACCAAATTTCTTCAGGACTTCACGAAGGTTGATACTCAGGTTCTCGAAGACCATGCAAAGATGGCCCTTGTGCTCGAAATGGCGCTCGAGACGGATAATGTGCTTCTTGTCCTCGGGGTCTGCTTCGGCGAGTTTCTGCAAGATCTCAATCTCCTTCATGCCAGCTTTGTACNNCTAATGGCAGGTTAGCTAACCCTTCGCAAAGAATGAACACAGGAAAGAAGCTTACATGGATTCTTGCGTACGAATGATCTTGATGGCGACAGTGCGATTGGTGGAGTTATCGAGAGCACGAACGACGGCAGAAAACACACCCTTTCCTAAATTGGTCTGGACATGGTAGCGGTCGTCGAGGAGCTCACCAAGAATGATGCGGTAGTAGCCTTCGGGATCATCCCAGTCGTCGAGCAGGCTGCGATCGAGTTGCTTTGCCTCAGGGACGCGCACGGCTTGAGTGCCGTCTTCCTTCTTGGGGCCAGAAACTGGCTCGGGAGCAAACATGTCATCGTTGTCGTCATCTGCAAACATATCTAGTTCCTTGAGTTGAGCGGATTGAGGAGGAGGAGGAGGAGGAGGATGAGCAGTCGTAGTGCTGTCGGCCTTGGTGTCCTGATCCTTTGGCTCGTAACGGGCAGCGGCCGAGAGACGGGCGTTGATCCTGTCTTCTTGCATATCCATGGTCGGGTCGTAATCAGCAGCTGAAGGAGCATTGGCAGCAGCGGGAGAGTTAAGGTCAGCATTGACAGGATTGGCAAGGTCTTGGTCGTTTGTGATTGAAAAGGAAGCAGGAGAGGCAGGAGTAGCGGGAGACGAAGGTACTGAAGCAGCAGGCGAGGTCATGACAGAGTCGGGTTCTGAGGCAGTAGCGACGTGCAATGCTTGTTGGAGCAGAGGCTGTGGCTGGACTCGATGCTTTGCGCGCAGAGCTTCACGGCGCTTGCGGCGGTCTTCGATCAGCTTGGCCTCATCGACGGGGGGCTCTTCGGAGACATCGGGGACGACAGGCACAGGTTGTTCATGAACCGGTGCTTGACGGACAGGTGACGGGCTCCTGTTGTGACGCTGGCGCTTCTCGGGATGATCTTGGTTGTGGCGGGAGTGAGACGGGTGTGTCGAAGGACGGTCTTGTGGGTAGCGATCGTGTTGGTGGTAGTCGTCGCGGCGGGAGTAGGGGCGCTTGTGTGAGTCGTGTTGATGTTGGTTATGGTGGTTTGCGCGAGGTCTCTGGTTGTACCTCGACGGGGGCGATCGAGGTCTGCTTCTGCGGTCAATGGCGTGGTCACTGGCTGGGGGAGGTCGCGATCTAGTTGCCTTGTCTTGGACAATCTCGCCCTCGGATGCCGAACCGTAGCCCATGCTGAGGCGCGTGGTGCAATGGGTGATGGCTTGTTTGTAGAGGGAGAGGGAGAGGGAGAGGGAGGCAGGCGCATCCATGTCTGACACTCTCTCGTCGTCAGCGGCCCGTGCTTTTGATACTCAGCCATGTGAAGCAGGAAGTCACCAACTTTTTGTCCCCATCTCTCCTTCCTCGCAACCCTCCGCACCTTCCATATTCAACATGCTCGCCTTCCGTGCTCGAACCGTGCTGCGCTTCTCGCCCTTGGTCAGGCCGGCCACTGCTGCTCGCCGCTTCATGGCCGACCAGCCAAACATGTCGCCATCCTCTTCGCCATCCACGCCCCCACCTGCTTCACCAATTTCTGCTTCTACCGCTCCTGTCACTACACCCACCACTCTACCTAGACCTACTGCCTCTCCGGATGCCGTTCCCAATCCTCAGCAGCAACGTGCACGCAAGCTGCAGGATGGCTACAGTGGCGCCTTCTATCTGTGTCTGCTGGGAGGCTTGGTCGTCACTGCTCCCATCATCACCTACTTCTACTGGGAACATCGAAAGACTCACATGAGGGAGAAGAAGGAGGCCATCCTCCACGAAATCCACGCCAGGGCCCGCGCCTCTTGATTCAATCTCTGCAACAAGAATATCTCATACAAGAACTACCATAAACTCTCCCCACCCACTCAGCCCTCGTGCAGTCTACCGCCGACTAGGTAGAGTTGGTCTACTTGAGTCTGCTCGAGCGTCTGGGCTCTCCCGACTCGGTCGCTGCCTTCTTTGGCTCCTTCTTGGGCTTGGACGATGATGATGCCTCGTTTCCGTTCTTGGCGGGCCTGCCGCGCTTCTTCTTGTCGCCATTTTCCTCGCCAGCCTCGTCCGTCTTCTGCTGCTTCTTCGATGGCTCCTCGTCCTCTTTCTCTTCCTCGTCGTCCTTGGCCTCGCGCTTGTCTCCAGTCTTGGCTTTGCCATCCGACTTCTTCGAATCCGACTTCTTTGACTCCTTCTTGGCCTCTTCTTTCTTCTCTTTGTCCTCTTTCTTCTCTTCGTCTGCCTCTTCCTTCTTGTCGCCATCCTTCTCCTTGGACTCATCGTCGTCCTTCTTGTCGTCCTTGGTCACTGTCTTCTCCTCGCCCTGGTCTTCCTTGTGCTTGTCGCCAGCCTTGTCGACGTCGAGCTCGTGAGCACGCTTTACGACATCGTTGCCGGAGCGAGAGATCTTGACGGCAGGGTCTTCGGGGTCGGCATTCTTCTTGACCGTGTTGCCATTCTTGGTCTCGATTGAGAGTTCACCTTCCTTGGCAATCTCGGCGACTTTGCCTCCGGGACGGCTGCCAGACCATTGCCACGACACTGGTACATTCAAGTCAGAACTGGAATAGAGAGAAGTTGAGAATTCGATATCTTGACGCGCCAGCATGACTCGACACCCTGGAGTGTATGTCGTCGCGTAGACAATCGCGTGTCGTTGGATCGCTGGACCGCAAGCTGCGCGAGATTCGCGCAAAATGGTCTGGACAAGGCACTTACCCTGGTCTCCTTCCTTGATTTCCTTGTCGCTCATGATTACGATGTGATGAAGGTGGATTGGTCGAAAGGATCGATGAGAGCAGAAAGTTTCGTGTAGAATATCAATGCGATCGCGTAAGCTAAGCGATTCCGAAAAAAGCACAATGGAGAGAGCAGTAAACGCGTTTGTGTTGGATGCGAATGTCAGGAAGTGAGGTTGGTCAGAGTTGGAGGTCCGCCAGCGCGACGGGGTGTGGAGGCAGGTACGACTCCAACGTCATGCTTGGTTGCCGCGGTAGGAAACTGATCGGCGCTACTGCCCGGTTCTTTGGTCCTTGGGAGCAATGGCTTCCTCAGGCCCTCTCGCCCTCCCTTTTCTGTACTTCGAGTCCTTTGCAGAGCTATATAACACTGTTGCGATACTAATTGCTGTCTTGTTATGCCTTCAATGTGCTGAATTGACACTGATGTTATGATGGTTGCTCAAACAGACGTTACAAGCTCTCGATCAGCTCCACCCCAATCACACCACCATCACCATCCCAACCGTAGGTAGTTTACTTCCCAATACTATCAGTTGTTTGTTTACTGGCCATCTACATCCTGAATGTCAATCTGTGGATGTAACACGAGTCTTCGTGTGAGTCTCAAAAGAGCTCTTCTATATATGCTCATGGATCTTTGTGAGAATACAACTGCCCAGCTCTATGGCTTTCCAGTTCAAGCTTCGTCAGCACAATGTCACTCACCTCTTTTGAGCATTATGCCTCCACCAGTGGCCTCGTTTCTCTTCGGACCACGCCCGAGCCCCTCTAGGTACATACGAAGACTTGACTCTTGTCTCTCAAGTTCACCAAAGCGTTTAATCTCCGAGCCAGACATGTTAACAGTTATAGACAGGGTCCTCCTTACGACGAAGTGGGTGACCCTGGCCCAAAGACACGCAAATCGCAGAGAGCTCCTCATTTTGTATATCACCAGATCGCGCCGTTGAAACAGCGCAAGCGTTGCCCGCAAGCACTCACAACAACCGACAGAATATCCCATCGCTGTTCTGAGATGTAGACCTGTCTTATGCCAGGGAGTTGGGACTCGGGAATGGACACCACAAGAAGAATAAAACCTCAACGTGTAGGCTTTGCTCGATGAACTTTACAAGGACGTATAACCCTTCTTGTTCTTGCACCTCCCCGAGTGCCAAAGTATGTAACGTGTGTAGTTATGGAAAAGTATAGTGCTATCAACAAGCAAGGCACTATCCACTGAGAGCCAACAGCTTAGCGGCTCTCTTTAGGTAGTCACTCTTCTGCTCCGGAAACATATTGTGTTTTTTCATGGCACACTCTACGCTCAACTCTGTCGTGGGAGAAGGATGTTGTACACGGCGAGGCATGAATCCGTCCGATGAGCTTTGCAACAAAAACGAATTCTTCCATCTTCGAACTTACACCCTGCACGAAGCAAAAGAAGAGGACCTGGTTGTTCTGTTCGAACGGTATGAGAGCGAGAAATCCTAGCCACTAGACCATATCGGATGCTGTTGAGTCGAATGCCGTCTTGTCTGTATATATTTCTTAGATAACACGCGTCAATGGCGTGAATTGACCCGAGCCGCGTTGCACGTCACATCTCAAGCCTAAACACAAACCACCCGCATAAACAACCATGAATAGCTCTTTGTTAAGCTCAGACGCCAACAGTGTGTCCCCTCTTCCACGGGACATGGCAACAGACAGCAAGCTCACGCACCGACAGGAGTCAATGCAGCCGAACTCAACACCAAGATAGATGCCGCAATCAAGAAGTCGGGCACCGACTGGGATAACCTGCCCGAAGGCCATGCGCTGCTCAAAATGTCCGCCAGGCTAGGCGAGCTCATCAAGGAAGCTGACTATAGCGAGATGTATGGTGTTGAGCTGTCTGCGCCTACCGAAGAGTATGTTATCCTGAGCACTATCTCACCGTAAAGAGCTAACCAGAGTAATCAACAACAGANNGGCAAAGCAGCACCATTCAGCACATTACTCATCCTCCAAAAGTTCCTCCGCGCAAACCAAGGCCAGGTCAACAAGGCATGCGAACAATTGCAGGGGGCGCTGAAATGGCGCAAAGAGTTCAAGCCGCTGGAGGTCAAAGACCAAGTGTTCGACAAGGCCAAATTCGACGGCTTGGGCTACATTATGCAGTTGAAGAATGTCCCCGACAGCCCCAATGAAACCGACATTGCAACCTTCAACATCTACGGCGCAGTCAAAGATACGAAAAAGACCTTTGGCGATCTCGACGAGTAAGCACTGCCACCAATATTCATGTCAAGAGCTGAGATGGAAGGAAAACATCTACTGACAATACCTTTCGACCACACAGATNTCATCCGCTGGCGCGTCGCCCTCATGGAACTTACCATCCAATCCCTCGCCCTCTCCTCCACCACCACGCCCATCCCCGACTACAACAAAGGTCCAGACCCCCACCAAGCCCTCCAAATCCACGACTACCTGCGCGTGTCCTTCCTCCGCCAACCCGCAGAAGTGAAAGCCGCCTCTCAAAAAGCAATCCAGCTCTTCTCCGCACACTACCCGGAAACCCTGTCCAAAAAATACTTTGTCAATGTGCCCTTGGTCATGCAGTGGATGTTTGGCGCCATGCAGGTGTTTATGGCAAAAGAGACTGTGGCAAAAATGCAGTGGATGAGTTATGGTGAGGAGTTGCATAAATATGTTGGTGAGGATGTGGCCAAAGAGTATGGTGGTCAAGGCCCGGGATTGGAGGAAGTGGGCGTAACACCGAGGTATGAGCAGCAGGGGGCTGGAGAAACGGTTGTTGATGCTGCTGCTGCCAAGGAGGTGGCTATCTGATCATGACTCTATGACTGTTTGCTTTTGTCGACATGATACCTCTTGCTGTCTTGCACTGCGCTCCCTTGTTGGTAATGATAATGGAACCACTTTCATCTAGATATTCCAGGTGTGACTCTATGGCGTTGTCCTATGCCGCCATATTGTCTGGATCGGCCACAAGTTGTGAGTCAGGCATTGTTGACTCCTCAGCCTGGATACAGTGTCTCACAAAACGTCTTGCCCGACGGATTTCCAACAAAATGCAGACGTGTGGAGGGAGACGTAGGGCAAGTCCAATTTGGTTTCGCTCATACTTAGAGAGATAGCTGTTTGTCAAAGCTGACCGGCGCTCAGCAATCATTCATACCCGCCATTACCAATCCCAGGTCTTGTCGCCCTCATTCGACAGCGGGTACATTGCAAACACGGCACTCTCGAATACCTCCTGACTCAGACTCTTATCTCCCTCCTAGAAGAAAGCAGGAATGCAAAAGTCAGACTCTGATTCCCAGGCTGACTTTGATACTCTGCGCATGTTCGATCCGTCGTCAGCCAACTCGCGAGGAGGTCCTTCATATGCAGAGCTGTCTTCCAAGAACGAGTCTCTCAGTGTCAGCGGCGGGAGAATTTCCACGCTCGAGAAAGCTGAGCTGCCGTCCGAGATACAGTCGCTTGTAGTGCGGTCGTGAGACGACAAGAAGGTCCAGTCATAGGTCTCGGCATCATGCTCGATCATGACAAGATCATCAGAATAATTCTCGGCGAGCTTGTCATCCCAATTTACAAATGGTTCTCCCCACTCAACAAAAGGCTCGTTGTCCCAATCACCAACGATATCGTAAGCCCAGTCTTCGACCGACTCATCGGACCAATCGACTTCCAGAGCAGAGATCGGAACAGTGGCGGAATCGTTGTGTACCACACCTGGCATTCTGCCTTCTTCACAAGTACGCAGAGACTGGGAGGTGTTCAGAGATGGCTCCTCGGGATGATGATCACCCTTTCCTCGATATAGAGTGCACCTCGTCGACTGTGGCTGTGGCTCGAGATGTTCGTAAGTGCTTGGACTGGCATCGAAGGTTGATGGGACGGCCAAGTCGAATGGATCAATGTCATGGAAATGTGGCAACTTTGCTGCTACAAACGACGGATCGATGCCATCGTACACTGTAGCATCCAAAGTCAGATGTGGACTCTGGATGATGGGTGCAGTGGCGGAAGGGCAAGGCATCCAAGGCATCACAATCGGAGCGTTGCCTACAGGAGTCATAGGAGCTTCCAGTCTGTTTGTAAGTTCTGGCAAACACACTTTGGGTGTCAATGGGGCGAGTAGACCAAGTTCGGCCGCTGTCATGATGGACATAGGCGGAGATGGACATGGAACAACCGAAGTCTTTCTGGCTGGGGCCGAGAACTTGATTTCAAGAGTTGACCAGTCTGCATCGGATATAGGTTGGAAGTGAGGGGTGGGTGTGCGTACTGGCGACAGTGCTGGAGGTTGCCATTTGACCATTTGCATAGGTGAGAGATCAAGGTCCGGCAGCTGGACATTGGAATTGTGCTCATTCGTCCTAATGACATGATCAAAACGAGTTGACAATTCGGCGTCCAAAGAAGCAAGCTGAAGTTCGACGAGCTCTTTTCTCTTGTGTTCCCTTGCCCTTCTGCGTTTCGAATGGCGGCTGGCGAACCATCGGGATTTGCGGTCGTGAAGATGAGTCAAGGGCTCGAATTGGTTTCCTTGATTATGTGAGTATTTCATCTCGAGTACAGTAGGCACAGCATACTGNTTTGGATGCCAATCAGAAGCAACAGTTAATGGGGGATCCATCATCCAGTTATGATTGGCTATGGAAGCGTTTGCGGCATCCAGACAAAGTTGGTGTAGTCTCTCTCTGCGAGTCTGACGTCTGGTGTCGTGAAAGTTGCAGCGCTTTTGGATGGAGCCACGGTTACGAGCCATGAGAGTCGGTGTTCTAGGCGAAGAATAGGGGTAGCTATGAAGAACAAGGTTGTTGTTGTGATGAGCAACAGTCATGGAGAATGACAGATGCAGAGTTCAACACTTTGACCACCACTGGTCGTGCCTTCCTTCTACATCGGTATACAGGAAGTAAGACGGCTTCAGGAGCACGTGGCTGGATTCGTTGTTTCCCTTTTGATATATGACATGCTAAAGTCAGGCATTTCTTACACTTCAAGGTTGCCGAATCGAGAGTGATCCAAAGGTTTACTCGAATTACAGATGTTGTACATAGTGATGGTACTAGATGTCTGTACTATGCATGAAGAAGTACACCTCAGCTGTTTTTGGCGCCTGTCGTGAAACCCGGTGACGCGGCTATTTCCAAGGCAGTTGTACTCGGTCGACGAGAAGTGGCTCTCAACGACATTCGGATCGATTGAAGGCTTTACCTGGTCAGGACTCGACAACGGGGTGGACATGAGGATGAGGATGAGGACATGAGGATGAGGACATGAGGATGAGGATGAGGATGAGGATGAGGATGAGGACATGAGGATGAGGACATGAGGATGAGGACATGAGGATGAGATGGTGTCTGTTGAAATTTACGAAGCAATACGGGTGATTGACTGATCGACATAGCGCAACGATGCTTCTTCGCAAGTGTCAGGACACGCGATGGTCCATGTCGGATGGCAGCTTCTCGGATCAGCCGGAGGATTCTCGAGACAAAGAGGGCAGTCGGATGCGGGGTGGAGGGACATGATGTCACGGGGAAAGCTACACGAAGATATTTTTGGACTTTCAACGGCGCGAATACCGGGGATAGCATGCTGGGGTCGAAGAGCAGAAAGCCGCGAGAGAGTGATGGTTGTGGTATAAGAGAGAGACAGCAGTTCTGGCGAGGAATGAAGTACCAAGATCGGCATATTCGAGCAGTTGTGGCTTGCAGAGATGTTTGTGGACCTGCTTGTGAAACGCGCTGCAGGAACCAGGTCGATGGTCATAGCGCTCTTGCAGGGTCTTGTTGGCCGACGGTGTGAAGTACGCGTGGGCGTCACCTTTTTTCTTCCTTGTTGCATCCGAAAGTCGACAGCATTGTTTCGTGCCTCGTGCCACGTATCCTTATCCTCGAGGCCTGCGACTCTTTTCTATCCACACAGTCGTCGTCCATTGGGCCCGTTCCACTTCGAAGCCCTCTCTGGTATCCATCTACCAGCCCCAGGTCCCACATTCATTTCACATCTGTAGATCCGACAGATCGCCAAGGCACACGACTCGTTTCCACCCGGCAGAGTCATCGAGAAGTCTTGTCATAAGAGCAAGACACTCCCTCGAAATTGACATGTCCTTGAGGGGATCCAACTCGCAGCGTCTGTCTCGCCAGGGCTTCTCCNCCATCCCAAACCAAAACATGAACAACGGCGACGCAACCATCGACATTCCCTTGCAAGAGGTCCACTCGCAAGCTTACAGGAATGACAGCAACACTCCCNTCACCCCCAACGGCCATGGCCTCACAAAGACGTCCTCCCGCCAACCCCCACGCAACATCGCCGGACGACGAGCCAGGAGGAACATGGGCGAGTCGTCGGTCGGCTACGACGGAGAAGAAGACACGCTCAATCGCATGGGCAGAATCTACAACAAGATCCTCAACTTCAGCATCATCACTCGCTACTTTGTCTACGTCTCTCCCTTGGCCCTCTGTATCGCTATTCCCATCATCGTCGGAGCCACAGCCGCCCCCAATGCAAAGATTGGCGGCGTGCCAATCGTCTGGTTCTTTACCTGGATCGAAGTTGGTGCGTACTTGTACTCGCGCCATCGTCTGTTGACAGACATCAACTGACTCTCTCGCANNGTGTGGCTGAGTCTGTGGGGCTCCAAAATCGTCTCCCACTTCCTTCCCTTCGTCTTCCAATTCGTTGCCGGCGTTGTCAGCTCAGGCACTCGCAAATATGCCCTCATCATCAAGGCGCTCGAGATCCCTCTATCTTTGGCAGGCTGGGCCATCACCTCTTTGGCCACTTTCATGCCCCTCATGACACGCAACCCGTACGGCCGCGCCCACAACCAAGGCCAGACACATTGGATGAAGATCATGAACCAGGTCTTGGCCGCCTGTCTGATCGGCACCCTCGTGCTGCTGATCGAAAAGTTCTTCATTCAGCTCATCAGCATCAACTACCACCGCAAGCAGTTCAACGCCCGCATCAAGGACTCCAAGCGCAATGTCTTCCTGCTGGGTCTGCTCTACGACGCTTCGAGAACCCTCTTCCCCGCCTATGAAGTCTTCGCCGAAGAGGACTATATGATTGCCGACCAGCTCAACCTGTCCATGTTGGGTGGAAAGAAGGGAGGAGACCACAAACGTTCCGGATCTGTCACTCCCTTCCGCTTGTTGCAAAATGTTGGAAGATTTGGTGACCAGGTCACTTCGGCTTTTGGCAACGTCGCCCAAGAGATCACCGGAAAGCAGGTCTTCAACCCCAACAGCGCCCACTCGATCGTCACCGGCGCTCTCGAGAAGAGAAGAACCTCCGAGGCCTTGGCCAGACGCTTGTGGATGTCCTTTGTCATCGAGGGCAAGGAAGCCCTGTACGAGGAAGACATTATCGAAGTTCTTGGCGACAACCGCAGAGAAGAGGCCGAGGAAGCCTTCACCATGCTCGACAAAGACTGTAACGGTGACATTTCCCTCGACGAGGCTGTTCAGCAGGTCATCCAGATCAGCCGTGATCGCAAGGCACTTGGAACCAGCATGCACGATGTCGACCAAGCCATTAACGTCCTGGACAGACTGCTTATGGTCATTGTCTTCATCATCATCATCTTCACCTTCATTGCCTTCCTCAACGCCAGCTTCACCACCACTCTGGCCACCGCCGGAACCACTCTCCTCTCCTTGTCATTCGTCTTCTCCGTCACCGCGCAGGAAGTTTTGGGATCCTGCATTTTCTTGTTCGTCAAGCACCCTTACGACATTGGAGATCGTGTTGATATCGGAGCTGACCATTTCGCCGTTGACCACATCTCTTTGTTGTTCACTGTCTTCCGTCGTATTAGCGGTTTGGAGGTTGGCAAATGCGTCCAGATCCCAAACAACGTACTCAACGGTCTCTGGATTGAGAACGTCAGCCGCAGTAAGCTCATGAAGGAGCAGCTCACTCTCGATGTCAGCTTCGACACGACCTTTGAAGATATCCAACTCCTCAAGGCCGAGCTCCTTGCCTTCGTCTGCGACAAGGACAACAGCCGTGACTTCCTGCCCGATATTGACGTCGAAGTCCTGGGAACCTCTGACATGTCCAAGTTGCAATTGAGAGTCGAAGTCAGACACAAGGGCAACTTTGCCAATGAGACTCAACGTGCATCCAGACGCTCCAAGTTCATGTGCGCACTCGTCCAATCCCTTCGTAGAGTACCCATCAACGGTCCCGGTGGCGGTGGTGACGCACTCGGTGGTCCTGCCAACCCGACATACTCAGTCTCTGTTTCCGATGGCTATGCTACTGAAGCTCGTGAAGCTTCTGCTGACTCCAAGGACAAGGCTAGACTTGTACCTACCAAGAAGGTTGAGGAAGCTATGAGTCCCTCTCAGACACGTTCAAAGCACACTGGCACCGGTCCTCTTGGTCTTTCGGCAAAGGAGGCAGCGATCGTCGATAACCTGCATTCACAAGCACCTGGCTTGGATACTACACGCGACGAGCCTTGGATGGAAACTGGTAGCAGCACGTTGGACGAACGCTCGAGCTCTGACCGTGCCCAGGACATTGAAGATGTCAGAGGCCTGCTAGAAAGAGCAAACACAAAGGGAAAGCGTCGCCCTTCAAACCACCCTGCCAATCAGTCTGGAATGCCAACAATCACCGAGCCGGTGCCTCCGATAGCATACACTGGCTACGCCCAAAGAGCCGAAGCCAGTCTTGAAGTCGATGAATACGAACAGTACCGTACCCAAGCTCAAGGTGGCCAAGGCTTAAATCTCAGCATTCCCAACACCAGGCCCGCGCTTCCTACCAGCCCGTCAGCGTACGTGCAAGGTTCGAGCTACCTGGACAGGGCGACATCGGGACGCCAACCTTCAGGTCAGCAGAACATGGGCAGAAGCCCAAGCAACCCATATCGTCAACAGTCCACAAGAAAGGCATCGAACCCTTACGACAGCGATTGATCTCCCTGTCAATCAAAGAGTAAACTTCAACTTTGAGCTGCTGATCGACTCGGATGTCAGTATGACCGCAAGAACATTTGCATCTTTTGATAGCCTGATTTTCTCACACGTTCCTTTCTCTTTCATGTACATTCGCATAGCATCAAAAGCACGGGCACAGGAGTTTTTTTTCTTTGATAGCATTTCACCGGATAGAAAGGGACATCAATCACGTATAATGTTCGATGACTCCCTCAAAGTCAGACTGCAATAAGAAGTACAAGGAAGATATGCACCTGTTGGTATTATGAAGAAATGAACCCGATAGAATTTCCATCGATCTGAATGTAAATGTAGACAAAGCTTTGAGAACAAGACAGCCGTAATGTTGACGAGACAGTGTGCCATCGCTCGCCAAAATCACCGACAACGAAAAAAAAAGTCGCATCCCTTTCCTAGAGATAACCAAAATCCGAAGTCCTAAACACGGGATCTTCAAACGGCAAAAAGGAATTCGCAAGCCCAAAGTCTGGCATCATGAACGAATCATCCCTGGCCATGTTTCCAAAGTCGTTTTGAGGTCCGGCAGCCATCATATCCATCTGCTGTGCCATGCCCTGATCAGCAGACCTGCCATACTGATTCTCATTCATGTACTGGAAGCCGCCATTGAACAATTGCGCAGCGGCTTGTGTAGGTGTCCTCATTGACGCCTCCACCATCTTTTCCAACCCTTCCGCCATGAATCTGACTAGATGATATTTCCCCGTCGGCATAAGACGCAGTTGTCCAACAAGACGATTAATCAGATCGTGGACTACGGTTCGTTGCACCAAGTCGCCGTCATACTTTGTAGTCATTTGGAGGAGGAAGCCGCAGGCAAAGGCGATCATGGTGTGTAGGTAGTGTGGCATGCCTACTAGCCCTGCGCGCATATCTGGGTCCGAGAGAAGGACTTCGACGATTGTTGTTGCCGCGTCGACGGCTTTGGCGGCCGAGTGCCGGAAGTAGTGGGGGAGAGGGCTGGTTGCTAGGCCCCTGAAGATGTGGGAGTGGAGATGCAGGCGGGCGAGGTTGGAGTGGAGGAGGACGCCTTTGGAGGGCCAGTCTCCAATGTCGTCGCGTCGTTCNTGAGGTTTGTGTTAGTCATGTTTTTCTCTTCTATTCTTTCCGTTGAAAGAGGGCTAGGGACGGAGAGAAAACTTACTCAGGTGTTGGAACCAGGTTTCGACCCAGCGGTCGATTTGACGGTCAAAAGAGGCAATGTGTTCGGTCAGACTTTGGGGTAGTGTTTGAGTGTCCCTGCTGTGTCGTTCGAAGAACTCTCTGATGGCGCCCATGATTACCATTATTGCCACCTGACTTGCTGTCCGTCGATCTTGCTCCACCGCCACGCGGACTTCGAGATATCGCTCCCAGCCCTGTAGACTAGGGTCATCGATTCGTATTGTGGTTGGGCGACCATAGAGAATGCTCAGATGTTGATCGCAGATGTAGAGCAAGTACCATAGACGAAGGCAGTCCGCAGCATCTTCCGAACCATCGTCCAGGACTCTGTAGTAGTTTGAACTCAGATTGATGCCCATGGCACGCCGTATCGCATGTCCAGAAAGCGTGTATGATATGTCGCTCAGCCAATACGATCCGATACACATGGCTCGAAGGTATTCACGGTCAATGCGGCGGACAAACATGGATTCCGAAAGCACTCTTTTCAACTCTCGGCAGCAAGGTCCAAATAGTTGATTGCTGTTCGGATCATGCAATGCAGCAACAGTCAGAATTGCGTTGGTCAATGCCACTGAACGCCGCCGTATAGATTGCAAATCAGAAAATTTGTTTGCAATGCTGTAGGCGTAGTGATCCAGTCGTCCAAGATATAGAGCCGTCAATCTCTCGGCTTCTTCAAGAGATACAATGCCTTTGGATACCACGTCCGAGCCTTCATCAGCCTTACTCTCGTCTCCAGAGTTTTCAGCTCGTAATGAACGCAGTCGCGTGATCTGATAAAGCGACTCGATCGGCACGTTTTGTAGAGACTCGGTCTGTGGTGGTAGTTTGGGAGAATTGTCGCAAGAAGGTCCGACATCTTCGACCTTTTCGACCACTGTATCGTCGTAGGGTGATGTTTCTTGTTGATCTTCTGTTGTGGAGGGTGCTTTTAGTGGTTGTAGTGCAGGCATTGATAGTCTCTTCAGGATGTCTTGGACAGCTCCATGCATGTTTGAAATGTCGCGATGCATGTCATCTTTCCATTGCGATCGTTCACTGATCAGGGTTTGCAGACTTTTGTTCAAGACACACGAAAGGCCTCGCTCTATACAGCGTCGACATGGCGGTTCTCCGTTATTGTCCATCAGACATTTGATCTAGTCAGACATGAGCCATCCAATCCAAAACATCAGCAGTCTTCAAGCAGTGTTACCTTTNTGTTTGCGACAAGCAGCACATGCTTTGACCTTTCGTGATATCTGGGGTCCATTGGGAGAATCCTGCGGAGGACCTTGTGGTGGAGACATTGAAGTAGCGTTGGTAGCACTACGAGAGCCNCTGCACACGTTTTCCATGAGTTTCTTTCACATGGAGCCTACAGGGATCACAATTACCGAGTTCATGTCGAGTAAACCCTGAGCGGCGTTTGCCACGGACCAGGATCTCTTTGACATTTCGCAACCTCTCTCCTTCCAAGGTTGGCGGCTGGTCAGATTTGCGGTATCATGCGGCTCATATCGTCAAAACGGGTTTGATATACTCCAAAAACTCGTACAAAAACAGTGTCGCGACAAGACGAATAGGTAGAAAGGTAGCTTCCCCAGTCGCCGAGGCCTTCGAGAACTCTCGTGTCTCCCGCGAGCGGAGGCAGAATGGCGGGGAAAAGACTTGGCAAATATCGGATCACATTAGCCGACACGGCTTGTTTCTCACCTCTCCTGCTTCCTTCCTTGACTCGTGATAGAACTCAATTTCTAGCTTGCGGTATGCGTGATGCCTCACGTGCTACTTTGAGTTGGCACTTTGTACAGCTGAAGCTATTGTGTTGGCAATGACATTATTGTGGTCGATGCAACACGATGTGGTAACGGCATGCTGACATGAGAACGTCTACAACCACACGTACGATACGAGCAGCGTAATGCACGAACGTGTTCACGTGTCCAGCTTCATGTCTGGTTGCTGAAGGAAAAGAACTATCTGCCGTCGGTCAGTCAGAACCAGAATTACGTGAGCTCGTCCCGTACATGCAGGAAGTCTTCAATGCTCAGCCATGCACCATTCTTCGATTCCGGTCTGTTGTCACACGAATACCCATCGACTACTACTCGAGCTCGTGATGCATGCTTGATTTAGCTCACGAAGGAATCTCATCCTTCACTTGAGGTCGACTGCGATCGCGATGTGGATGTTTGATCTTACACCGGCGTGCTACATAGCAGCGAGAGTACGACTGAGGAAGTGGCTTTATTGTTGGTCCAGTCAGCATACCAACAAAGTCGAGCAAATGAGTAGCACCTCGAGGAGTCTGTATATAAAGGCAAGTAATTGCACACTTCAGTCTTCCCAACCCAGCACCGTCAAGCAGAATACCTCATTCACAAGCCATCGAATCACTATCAATCAATACCCAAGCAAACATCCACTTCAAGATGCTCTACAATTCCGTCTTTGCTTTGGTCATGGCCGCATCAGTTCTCGCCACTCCTCTCGTGGCCAAACGCGCCGCCACCTTCGACTGCAATGTCGCCTTCGTCGCCTGCGTGGCAAACCCCTACCTTGGAGAAAGCTACTGCAACGACGTCCGCAACACCTGCGAAGCCTGCTGGCAAACCGAGCAATCCTGCAGAGTAACCGCCGACTACGCCAAAGGCATCCAATGCACCGTAGATGCTCAACTCTGCTTCCACACCGCCGAGAACCCTGCTTCAGTCTATGGCGCCTACGATTGCGATGCCGCGTTTAGCACTTGCGCTTCTGCTCCCAACACCAATCATGCTTTCTGCGCGGCTCAGCAGGGTGCTTGTAACGCTTGCGAGACGCAGGAGAATCAGTGTCGTGCCGCACCTGGAGCCAATCAGGCTGGATGCTCTGCGCAGTCGGCTGGCTGCTTCAGGGATGCTGTTACTTCTAATGGCTCTTATACTGCTTAGAGTGATAGTCGTGTGTTGGCCACACCCAGTAAAAACTTGAGACTTATTGAGATTGGAGGGAAGATGAGTGTCATGGCTGGATGTGCTCCTCACAGTCCCTGCATTGATTGTATTTGGTTGGAAGCTGGCAATGTTGAATTCTTTTGCATCTCGCAATTATACAAGTTTGGCCTTCCACCTAAAACATGTTCATGATCAATGCGAGCAGAATCTCATCTCACGTTCAGGAGTCATTACTTCACATGTAGTCAAGAACCAATAAGAAGATCAGAAGGTCAGCATATTGGCAAAGGGCCGAGCGAGCTGCAAGAATGGCATGTTTCGGCCCATGCCAAGAGAAGACTCGATAATTCTGGAAGCGGCTGTCGCGTGAGCAGGTAATCAAGGTCTCTCTGATTGGTGCACCGGATCATACTCCGTCTATCGACTACCTGAGCTCGTAATTACCTCTTGCGCTATTGGTTCCTCGAGTGAAGCTGAACAATAACGCTCTCGTGATTGGGCGACAACTATGTCATAGGTAAACAGCTTACTTGCTCCAAAGCTCATATAAATACCACAACCACCACAATCCACTACAACCCATCACATCCAATTGGCGCATTCTCAAACCACTCACATACCACCTCTTCTACTTCTTTCCACCAACCAAATCACCACACACACAAACAATGTCTGCCCCCACCGCCTCCGTTCCCGTCACCTGCTGCGGCCGTGAAGGTGGCTGCGTCTGCGCAAAGGAAGCCACTTGCTCCTGTGGCAAACAACCTGCCCTCCACTGCACCTGCGAAAAAGCCGCCACCGAAAACAAAGTCGATGGCGCTCGCTGCTCATGCAACCAACGCGCCGCCGGTGCCTGCACTTGCAGCCGCTCCTCCCAAGAAAACACAAAGCCTNTCTGGCAGCACCTGTGCTTGTGGCAAGAGATCAAAGGGTAAGTGATACTGCTACAAAGACGAATGTTGGGGATGAGGTATTGACGTGTGGTGTTTCTGATAGATTCTTGCTCTTGCAATGGCACCGAAACTGGCGCTGGAGGCGATTACCCCAACGAAATCGATTTCACCACCAAGGCTTAAACAACCTCTCACGACCTTTCATCATTACGAGCTTCTTTACTTTGCATGACCATTGAAAAGGTCTCACTGGCGTTCTTGAAATTCGGCACTTTATACCACTTTTGGGAGGGAGGAAAAACACAAGTTTGGAATCATACTATATTGGAAGAGAGGGCTTGCGGGCACGCAGATTCTATGGAGGGCCGGACGAGTCGACTGCGGTTGCATCCCATGCAAGCAGTTGACTCTACGCACCAGTTGATTGCCTTTGGGGGTCGGCTGTCCAACCTTTGTGACTCTGGGATTGGTTTGCTCGACATGGCTTTCTTTGATCAGCAACGATCTTGACAAATCATAATCACTTTTATCACAATTACACCCTTGTCTCCGTCTTTGTCCCTTTTGTGTATGTGCCATGACTCTCTTCTAGCAGTAATCATGCGTGTTTTCTAATCAATAGCAGTGGTGTGCATGTCTTGATGACATCGTCACGCAAGTGGTGCAACCCTCCCGAGAACGATCAGCAGTCTGATTCAGCATCGAAGGAGCACGCGGACAAGACCGAAAGAGCGAACAGGCTTGGGTGATTCTCATAGCTTTGTATAATACATCATTCATATTCGTTGCTGGAAATCTCATCTACTTTTACTTTTGATACACCATCATCTATGCAGCACCTCCACGTCCACCAACACGATCCAACGCCTCAATCTGCTCCTGTGTGATTTTAGCTTCAGGAAGCGTCTTGATACCCTTCTTGGTGGGCTTGGGCATGAACCCTCTAGCAATGAGGAAAGAGAGATACTGTCCGACGATATCCTCGGTGACTGCACTGCCAGCCGAAAAGTCCTGGCCCGATCTTGCGGCATCAGCCTTGAGTGCAGCAGCAGAGTTTCTGTCGTCGAGTTCAGGTGCTTTGGTGCTGCCGGGCAGGTCGCCGGTGACCATGTGGTAGAGACCGAGGAGGGCGTGTTCTTCCTTGCCTTGCTCGACGAAACTCTCGACGGCGTCTCTCCATTTGGGAAAATCGACCTTGGGGGCTTCGTAGCCGAAAGCTTCGAGGGCGGCGAGGTATTGGTTGAAGGTTAGTCTAGGGTGACCAGTGACGTGGCAAACGACCATGGGTGCTACGGGCTGATTGAGCGCTGTGGCGATGACGAGTCTGGCGACGTGGTCGACAGGGACCATGTTGATGGTGTTGGTGATGTCAGGTCTGGAGCCGACTTGCACACAACCCTTGAGCATACGAATGAGGAAGTCGTCGGTGTTGGTTGTACCTGTCTTGGGGTCACCTAGCACGTAGCCGGCACGGATGATTGAGCCAACAAGACCTCTTCTTCCGGCCTCTTCCATGAGACGCTCAGAGACCCACTTGCCTTGACCGTAGCCAGTAGTAAGACCTTGTCTGCTTCCCTCCATGTCATCGGATTCGCTAACACCAGCGGCGCCGGAAGCAATAAGACTCTTAGACAACTCCACGTAGTGGTCCGAGTCCAGAGCACTTGTTGAACTGACAAAAGCCATCTTCTTGACCTTACCAGTTGCACACAACCTGATTGCCGAAATAGTACTCAGAACATTGGCAGATTTCAGAGACGAGAAGGGCTTGAGCCAATGCACAATGGCACCGTTGTGGATCACAACATCGGCCTCCTTGGCGACACGGTCATACACATCTTGCTGCATGCCGAGTAGGGGTTGCTCCTGCAAATCACCAGTAACACACTCAAGGTTGGATGCCCATGAGTCGGACCAGATGCCGTATGCCTGGCACGTCGCCTTGACACGCTGCAGAGCATCTTCTGTAGACTTGGCGCGAACATGTGCAATGACCTTGTCGCCAGACGAGAGTAGATCACGAAGGATATAAGACCCCAAGAATCCAGTCGCTCCAGTGAGGAATACTGTTTGTTGCTTGGCAGATTCTCTGCTTGCAGACTGAATCTTGGCAGGAATCTCCTTGATCAGATCAGGCAGGGTGTTTGAGTAGAACTCCTCCTGATCGTCAGTTTCAGGAGCCTGTGCGTCTAGACGGAGCCCAACGGGGTTCAGAGAGCGATCGATGTCTCCAGCAAGCTGTTGCAGAGTGGGGTTCTTTGAGATGGCACTGACTGGAACAGTAACATCGGGCCACTTCTTCCGGATCTGAGACGGGATCTGAACAGCGGCGATACTGTTACCGCCAAGATCGAAGAATGGGACATCGGAAGGAATGCTGTCAGCCGCATAGCTGCGAAGATAAAGAGCCCAGATCTCAGCGAGCGCCTTCTCAGTCTCAGAACGAGTAGCAGCATCCTGAGCAGGCTGGCTTGATGAAGCAGCAAGCAATTCCGACTTCTCGGGGAAGGGAAGTGCTCTCTTGTCAACCTTGCCGTTGGGCGTTAGAGGAAGTCTGACCATAGGAACAAAGAGAGTGGGGACAGCATAAGAAGCAAGCTTCTTCTTCAAGTGTTCTCTGACATCGTTGGTCAAGGTGTTGAACATCTTCAGTCTCTCGGGAATACTCAAGTCGTCGGCAACGTTGGTGTCAGCCTCTCCCATTTCCTTCTTCCAAGCTGACCACTGGTTGAGGTCAGGAACGTAGTAGCTGACAAGGATCTGCTCCTCTTCGTGATCGCGCTTGACCAGCGTAACGTTCTCTCTGATGAGCGGGTGTTGCGAAAGGTGAGTGTCAATCTCTCCAAGCTCGATGCGGAAACCACGAATCTTGACTTGGTCGTCCGCTCTGCCAGTACACTCGACGTTGCCATCAGCAGTGTATCTTCCTAAATCGCCAGAACGGTAGAGTCTGTCTCTGGGGCCCTTGTAGAACTCTCTCCAAGGCTCATCCTTGCCAGCCTTAGCAGCCTTCTCTTGGTCCTCCTTGACCCACTTTTCGTTATCAACGAACCAGTTCTGCACGAACTTGGAGTTTGTGAGCTCCTTGAGCTCGGGACCGAGATAGCCTTCTGCAAGACCACCAGCTCTGACATAGATTTCACCAATTTCGCCAACCTCGCAGATGCGATCTCTGTTTGAACGATCGACAACAAGCAGCTGCACATCAAGCATACCCTTGCCAGCAGGGATAACGTCACCCATCTTGTCGAGGTATGAAGAGTCCTCGGACTTGCTAGGGATTTCGTAGAAACTGACAGCTCTCTGAGTCTCGGTGGTTCCGTACATGTTCTTGATGCGAACATTGGGGGCCAGATCTTGCAATCTGCGACAATCTCTCTTCAAGAGGATGTCACCAACAAAGAATGCCGAGTGCAATGAGTTGACCTTGGGCTCTAAGCTACCGAGGAGAATTTGACCCATGGCGGGGGTGAGATGTGTGACGCTGATTTCGTTGTCACTAGCCCACTTAGCCAATCTATCAAAGGTAATGTCCTCGGCAGGGGGTACAACAAGACGGGCACCAAGGAAGAGAGGGGTGAAGATATCGCGCTGGATGGGATCGTGGGCGATACCGCTGAGCATGGAAAAGTGGTCCTTCTCGGACAGTCCGAAGCGCTCCTGCATCCAAGGGAAGTAGTAGGCCAGGGAGAAGTGGCGGCCCTTGACACCCTTGGGTCTGCCCTCTGAACCAGAAGTGAATGATAGAGTGGGAGTGGAATCGGGACCGACGACAACATCGGGAAGCTGAGCACGAGACTGTTGCTGAGACTCGAGGCAGTCGCGACCATCGACATTGCCACCAATGACTGAACCATCGTCTTGCAATTGCAAGCCAGGAACCTCGGTTCTGAGCCTCAGATTCTCCTGAATATACTCACGAACGGTATTAGAGAGCTTGCCAGCTTCCTGAGAAGCCTTCTCGATAACCACGAGAGCACGAGGCTTGGCAACATCGAGGTAAATTATTTGACGGTCCGCAGGGTATAGAGGGTCAATGACGGAAAAGGTAGCACCAGCCTTGAGTACACCCATGACGGCGACGACCAAATCAACACCACGGTGAGCATAAACCATGACGACTTCGCCTCGTTGTACGCCGCTAGCCACGAGGTGGTGTGCCAGGACATTACTCGATTCATTGATGTGTTGATATGTGAAGACNCTACGGAGGTTAGTACACGTGCGATTGTGAGGGATAGCAATGGTGATTACCCTCTTGGGAGAGTTGGATGAGGCGGTTTCAACAACACATGTCCTCTCAGGGTGCTTGTTGGCATTTGCAGCAAAGATTTGGTGGATAGCGCCTCTGTAGTCACTCCAGTGGAGATCTGAGGTGGGACTGGGTCTGGGATCGGCCATCATGCTGGATGCTGCAGCTCTGTCAGTATGTACTACAGCTGACGAAGGTACTCTGAATGTACAATACTGTGAATGTTGGTATGAGAGATGATGTAGTTCGAGCAATAAATTTTTGGTGGCCGGTATCGGCGGTGGATTTTATAGAGTCGGATATGTCAATTGAGGTGGTGTCGAGACCAATTGACAATATAGCGATAGAGAGTAGTATATGGAAGCAAAGATGTCAGTGGAGTTCAGAAAGGAAGGTCAAGACCGATGAGTCGAAATGTGTCATAGCAGACGCGGTTTTAGTGTGACATGTCGATGGTCTGTGCGCGGGAGGTTGGTTTGCTTAGATTGAGCAGCAGTTCATCTATATCCATGGACGTAGCACCTTGCCAGGTGTCCATGTGCCATCATGGCAGCTTCTTCGCGCCGAGGCAGCGTGCACAAGGCGCCCGACACTGTTCGCTATTACTATGAGCCCAGCAGGTCCAAGTCAAAAACGTCCGTCTCTGTGTCAAGCGAGGCTCAAAGCAAACACGAGACTCCCGCGCCCCGAACGCGGCCCAGACTGCAGCGAAGCGCGAGCACAAGTCAGAGCAGCCCGACCGACGACAAGACTCTTCAAAAGAAGCACCACCGACGCACTCCGTCATTCATAGCCTCCATCTTTCGACCCTCAATTCCCCCGTCAGCCGCCGTCTCGTCGCCTGCACCGCCTCGAGTCCGCACTGCCGAATGCCTGACATGCGGCTCCGACGACGTGCCCGTGTCTCGCTCAGCCAAGCTACCATGCGGCCACCGAATGTGTAGTCCATGTCTCCGCCGCATCTTCACCATGTCCATCAAGGACCCCCAGCATATGCCTCCCAAATGCTGCAACGCCGACCACATCCCGCTCAAGCACGTCGACCACCTCTTCGACGATAAATTCAAGGTCTTGTGGAACGCCAAATATCAAGAGTACACGACCAAGAACCGCCTCTACTGTCCTGCAAAAGCCTGCGGCCGGTGGATCAAGCCCGCCAACATACACAAGCTGCATGGCCGCAAGTACGGTCGCTGTCCCAGATGCAAGACCAAGGTGTGCACCTTGTGCAACAACAAACTGCACACCAGCGGCGAGTGCCCCAATGATCCAGAGACTAAGAGGCTCGTCGACTTGGCCAAAGAGAAGGGATGGCAACGCTGCTACAACTGCAGGGCTATGGTCGAACTTGACGAGGGCTGCAACCACATGACCTGTCGCTGTGGCTCAGACTTCTGCATGCTCTGCGCCAGTCCCTGGAAGACCTGCGAATGTCCATGGTTCAACTACGCCGCTGTTACCGACCAAGACCGCTTGAACCACATGCGTGTTCCAGAAACCGTCGTCAACCTTCCCCGCCACGATAGAAACCATACAAACGATGCTCACGACAGAAACGACCGACACGAGAGACGAAGAGACCACCCTATGAACCCGCCTATGACCTACCAACAAGAGCTTGACGCCCGAAGACGTCAAGAGCGTGCCGACCAAGCCCTGGCCCGTCGCCTGTCCACCACAAACATTTCCGACCGATCAATGCCTGATCGTCCCCGTCCTCGCCGACGCGACACCGTCACCGAAGAAGTCTTTGGCAATCGCGGCCATCACTTCCTCAACGACAACTACATCTCAACCACATCCCGTATCAACGCAAGTGTCATTGGTGATGCTGCATTTGCTCGTCGCGGTGAGCGTGAGAGTAGTCGGAGGTCGAGACGTCAATTTACCTCTCTCTTCGACAACGACCCCGGGCTTGCGCCTAATGCATTCGGTACTGAGAGCATGCTTGGTCTGGCGCCGCCCCCAGCTCCTGTTCAACCTCCTGCAAGACGACCGAGCTTGAGACAGCGATTGGGCAGTATCAGCAGCCAGAATGGCCGCGAAAGAATAGGTGGATGGTTGAACAAACTTGGTTGATATGATTGCTTTCCTGATGACGAACAACGATATTGCTTGATCGCACCTTGCGACTTTTGCTAGATACCCCCTTAATTCATGACGAGTTGTTTTTGCTGTTCTGCTTTGACGTTTTAATTCTCCTCATTTTTGTAAAGTCCGTTCTCAAGAACGCCGACTCCCAGACCATGTCCACTGACAAGCTTTAGCATCACATCGAGATCTCAACACATGATCCCCACAGCTTTTTATCAAGCCAAGCCTACAGGAACCGCGAAGGATTGCCAAGGCAAAGCAGGACTAAAGATCATCACAAACAAGTCAAGTCAGGTAGAAGATTGTCAAAGGATTGAGTATCACCAGAACTACCAGACGTAATAGCCAAGGAACAGTTGCCATAAGGATGACTCGCGCAGATTGGATATGAAGCATAAGGACTATCCATCCCCATTAACAGTTTGTTCTGACCAAGACCAGTCAACAACCCAGGATGTCTAACTCAACCGACATAACCAACAACCCGACCGATGCATGTCCAAGCACCCTTGGCTGGTACGTTCCTGATACATGGAGAAACTCAACCTCCTCGAACTNNTTTTCACAGGCCGCATGTGCCGCCCCAGCCTGTGACAACTTTCCGATGAAGCTGGCCGAATGCTGTGGACGCCCACATAGCGTCCTTCAATACTTCGACACGAGGATAGGCCCATACGCTTCTTGTGCACTTGCCGATAGCAACGACATCAAAGCCTACCAAGCTTTCCAGAGCTGTCTGGCTGATCAAGAAGTCAGAGGCTTCAAATGTAACAGTCAAGATGGCTACGCCGTCGAGTCTGGTTGCGGTTATGGCATCTCAGAAGTTCCGATCAACAACACCGACTGGCCAAATCAGCAGACCTGCAGTCTGCCCATTTCTATCAATGCCACTAGGGCCATGAGGAAGTGTTGTTCGAACTATGGCAATGATGGCGAAGGCTTGGTCGTCTTTTCCGAGGGATGCAGCATTGGCTGCACGTCCAATTCGACCAACGCTACTTTCCATGACTGCATTGGGGATAACTATAACAATCCACATGGCTATCTTTGTACTATCAATGATGGTCGGGAGAACCCTAATACCGGCGTCGGTGCTCAGGCCTCGCCATCTCTGGTTGGCGTCCTTACGGTCTTGTTGTTGGGATCGTCAATGTTGTTGCTTTAGGAGGACTTTACATGTGCCCGAATCAGAAAAGGATGATTGCACATAGAAGAAGGGATATGGCCATCGAGGTTACTGTACATAGGTAGACCTCGGCATTTCGGCCAAATCGCACCCCGAAGCTATTTTTACTCCTGTTCGCAGGAATGCACCTGCCAAGGGTCCAAGGGGCAGGCATGGCCGATCTTGTCCTGAGTTTGTTGTCGAACATCAACAACTCCATTTTTTCTTGCAGATTGAGTCCATACCTTGACTCAATATCTTATTTCCGTCGATGCAGAGTCTTCTACATATAATGGCATGTTACTGCCGTGATCAGATCCCCCACAACCTCCACATTACGCGGCTGTTATCGGAATCGATACGAGGAAAGGGGCGTAACTGCCAACCCGAGTTTGGCTTAGACTCAGCTGTCCAAGCAAACCTAGACCTGCTTGGCCCAGCGGCATTCGTGGCATGCATACGACAACGATTGTTGACTCTGTCTGTTTTTCCAGTGCGTCATGCACAAAGTCCTCAATAACTCTTACACACTGACGGTATCCTTTGACCATGCATGAATGACTATAATGCCGCGAGCTCAAAACATTCGGCTCTTGGGAGTTGGTCTCCTGGTATTGTTGACTTTTGTTTGTTGGGATGGTATTCGATCTGCTTTTGGGTATGTTGGGTGAAGTGTTTGCCCCTGACATTGCCGCTGACTTTGCGGTCGCAGTCACCAGAACCATGTCACAGAACAGAAATTCGCCAGCTTTGGCAATTTCGTGTATAAAGCATTAAAAGAAAATTCTCCTGGTGAAGTCGACATACAGCGAACAGGCCAAGCAGCTGCTGTGGTCTTTTGGACGACCAATGCAGAAACACTCAGGCCGGATCTTCTTAATCTCACATCTACTGATGTTGCCACCATGCGATTTGCGCACAACTCATACTTGAACTCTGTACAACGCATCAGTATCCCTTCTCAGAAAGGTGCTTCAGGAATTGTTTCCTCGGCTTCTGGAAGATACCTGCCGGTGTTTGTCATATCGTTGAGGATGCTGCGGAGAACTGGATCGCAGCTACCGGTTGAGCTCTTCGTGGACACTGAGGCGGAGTTGGCTTCACATACATGCCAGACGCTCCTTCCTAGCATGAATGCACATTGTTTGCGATTGGAAGACCGTCTTGGACGATGGGCAAAGTACCTTGCAAGCTTTCAAGTCAAGGTGTTTGCCATTCTGGCTTCTTCATTCGAGAACGTGCTTTTCCTAGATGCCGACGCTTTCGTGGCTAAAGATCCTTCCCATGTCTTTACGCAACAGCCATTTTCGTCTACTGGTCTAGTCACTTGGCCAGACTTCTGGGCATCGTCTGCTTCTACGCATCTCTACGAAATCACCAATCAGCCCGTGCCAGCTGTGAACGCACTCGCCTCGACAGAATCTGGACAGCTTCTAGTCTCCAAGTCCAGTCATGCATCAACTCTCCTCATGGCAGCCTACTACAACTACTACGGCCCAGACATATACTACCCGCTTATGAGCCAAGGCGGCCCCGGCGAAGGCGACAAAGACTCTTTCATCCTCGCCGCCAGAGTAGCCAAAGCACCCTTCCACCAAGTCAAGAAATGCGTGGATACCATAGGTTACTACGAGCATGGAGACTACCACGGAGGAGCAATGCTGCAATACGATCCCACTCAAGACTCATCGTCTTCTGCTGCTAGCGTTACTACCATGGATATCCCGCCAGATGCATTTTCCGTGCATCACAATATCCCCAAGTATGATCCTGTGCAGTTGTTTGATGCTGGTGTGCTTGTCGATGCAAAGACGGGGATACCGCATCGATTGATTGGCACCAAGGAAGAGACTGAGAAGAGATTTGGTAGGGACATTGAGAAAGAGCTTTGGGAAGAGATTGACTATGTGTCTTGCGAGCTTGGAGATCAGATTGTAGGATGGAAGACGATACCTACGACACAAGATGAAAACGGCACTTGCGACAAGGTCCGCTGGTATCGGAAGGAGCTGTTTATATAAAGTTCGAGCGCAATGCCATGATGTCAGTATGTTTATTGAGTTTTTCAATTTTCGTTTCTTACTTTACGTACATTTGCTCTTTGAGAGCATGTTTATAGCATTGAATGGCCCGACTGGTAGGGCCCTCTGACAACTTCCACGTTCTTAAAGACCGCATCTTGCAGCATGGTCACGCCATTACCTGTCGCATACATGCCCGTCCTTGCACCCTGCCAGGAGATGCGTCCCTCGTAGTGAGGAGCCATCCACGAAGCTGTGTAAGCAGTAATCCATGTGGTGGCACTGTCTGGAGGTGAAGAGTAGCCCAATTGACAAGTCTCTGGCGTTGTGCGGATGCTCAGGCGTACAGTCGTGCCATCCGCAGATCGACTGCTGTTGCCAGACTGAGCACAAGGCAAAGGGTAGTAGACCGTCGTGGCATTGCCATCATCGTCGCCTAGTCTGTCTCCAACGATCGTCATGGTCTTTAGACAAGTAGAGTTAGTTCCATCTGGACACATGACCACGGAAACAGTGTCGTGATGATGATCGTTGACCCACGCGACGATAATGGCTTCGTGGGTTGGCAGTGTAGGGTTGAATGTCATGTCCACGCCAAAAGTGTGAAACAGCGCGTCTTGCTTCCTAAGCACCAGAGCCATTATATCTTCACGTCGATGGTGGAGGAGCCGATCCCGTTGAGTAATTAGACTTGGCTGCGGCAATGAGTTAACCTGGTATGAGTAACCATTAGCTTCTCTTTGAGTGCCTCCAAAGGTCGTGTATCGAGACGATTGATGGTGAAGCGAAGGTTTGCCTTGGTTGCATATCCGAATACTCGGTTCGGCAGGTCACCTCGGTTCGGCTCAAGAATTCGATGTGGAGAAGTATGCAAGCAGCTACCTTCCACTGGAAACGACAAGGCAGAGGAGGTCCTTCCAGTTCTAGCAACGGGTTCGAAAAAATCGAATGCACAGAGGCAATTTCGAATGGCAGAAGAGTGCATCACCCAAGGCTCACCCGTTGGATTCGAGACGAGGTCAGAAATGTTCGTGTTGTCTGATTGAAGACTGATTGACAGACACATACATCGAAACTACAACAAGAATCGGAACCCCTTTTTCGCCGCCTCGCCGGGAACTCCCTGTCCAGAAGACACAGCACCCTCCACATGCTCACCTCTATCCAGCTTCTTGTTGAGCCTCATCAAGATCGTCCTTAGTGTAAAGGCCATAACGATTGCCAACCCAGCCATGACACAGTTCACACTCATCGCAACAACATATCTCGGCCCCGCTGAGCTAGGATACATATACGAAGCATAGATACTGCTGGCGTTGGAGATGGCATTGATTCCAGCAAGAGCAGCAGCACGCTTAGCTGGTGGACGAGGTATGGTGTTACTGATCCAAGCGAGCGCAACGACGTAGCCTGTGTAGACTCCAGGGACCATGAGCATCATAGCAACATAGCGAGGTGCGGTGGAAGTTGTGCAGGCGGCGATAATGAATGCGGCTACCGCGAACAGGAGAGGAATCGTGATGTGGAAGAAGCGCTCTCCAGTGCGGTCGGCATGTATGGCATTTGCGAAGGCGGTGATGACAGCCAAAACGTAGGGCGGCGCGGTCAAGCACAAGCTGATGATCTTGCTGTAACCCAGAGTTTGCACGACTGTGCTCTTGTCAACTAACGGTCATGTCTCGACGGGAATATGTATCGTACCTGTTGGGAAGAAATTGGTGACGGTACCACTGGCGACGATGCCGAATAGCAAGGCCATAAGAACATATGTCTTGATGTCTGTAAAGGCAAGCTTGAAACCATGCCAGAACGATTGTCCCTCGCTGCTGACCCAATCATCCATACCAATGTCCTCTTGAAGCCTCCATACAGCGAGCTGGCGCTCTTCTTCGGAGAGCCACTTGGTCGTACGTGGGAAGTTGGGGAGAACGAAGAAGGCGAGGAAAGCGATTCCAATAGTGATGGTACCTTCGATGATGACTGGCTTTTGTTAGTGTGCTATGCGCCGCAGACAATCACACAAGACTTACAGNAGCCAACGCCATGCCGACAATCCGAGATGCCCCTGCATGCCATCGAGAATGCCTGCGGCAATGAGACCGGAGAACGCGCCTGAGATCAACGAGCCAGAGTAGAGTACAGCGGAGCGGAATGCGAGCTCCTTGCGAGTGTACCACGAAGACAAGAAGAACAAACAGCCGGCTTGATTGTTGTTAGCATCATGACCAGAACTTAACATGGTTTCTGAACTCACGAAAGTACGCAGCTTCGACAAAACCTGATTGACATTTGTTAGTATTTTGGTGGCTGTGAGACAACAAGAACTCCTGACAAAGCACGAACCTAGCACGAATCTGACCGCTACAAGTCCTCCAAAGCTCTGGACAGCAGCAGTACACGTTGAGATGACACCCCAAACGCACATCACTGTTGGGAGATATAGAGCGGGTTTGCCAATCTTGTTAAGAAACAGGTTGGAAGGAACTNNGACTCTGTCAGTTCAAAGGTAAGAAGGATGGTGATAGTTGCTCTTACTTTGCATTAGCAAGTATCCGACGAACAAGATCGAAACACTGGTCTCGTATTGGGAAGATGTCAACGCCAGGTCGGTTTCCAGTCCTGCTAAGCGTGCTGAAGCGATATTGTTGCGGTCAAGGTAGTTCAGAATGTACATCAATACCAGCATCGGCATGAGTCTGAAATCAATCTTTCGAACCAGGGCCTTTTCGGCATGCGCTCGCTCTTCTGGAGACATGTTCCGAACGATTTCAGGCGCTTCCCTCCGTGTCAATCCTGGTGTGTTTCCGGTTTCCACTCGATCAATCATGTCGACAGAGGCCTTCTCGTCGTATACTTCGTTGGAACGACGATCTCCATAATTCGGAGACGTGAAGACGTTGTGGCTCATGATACAGCTCAACACTAGATGGCAGAGGGCACTAATTCGAGAGTATCCCTTAGAGAAATGGGGGTCGGGATCAAAGTCGAGGTGACAATATAAGCAAAAGAACGGCGATGATGGGAGGAATGTAATAAGAAGGATTGAAAGTTATAAGAGAGGATCTCAACCGGCAGTACTTTGTACAATTGATCGTCGGGCAAGCACATGGTTGTGACATGGGCCACGACCCGATGTTCGTCTCGGACTTCTCACCTGTAACTCATCCGTTAATCTATGCCGCTTTTACTGAATTGGCAATCCGATACTCTCTGACTCCCCACAATACCTTGTCTGGGGTCCCCATAAGATTGGCTGCGAGAGGGTGAGCGATGTGCCGTGAGAGCCGCTGTTTTGGGGGCGTACACAAGCTCCACACAAGGTCTTGTACAGGCTAAATTGGCATGCTTGATGCAACTCAAAGCATGCGTCAACGGCGTTCGCCCTACTCAAGCACGAATCGCAGCAAAGCGGAAGGAGAGGTCGAGGAAAAAGGATTCCTCTCTGTCGATCATTTGGGATGGTTAGGCGGGGAAATCGATTTAGAAAGGAAGGTCGGCCGAAGGTGATGTCACTCACACCGGCGTTCTCAACGACAGCATTCACATCGTAATCATTCGATGCTCTTAAGAGTTATAACCTTAGCCAACATCGATGTATTTTACTCATCAAGCCCTGGATGGGCCTACGAACGGTCGTGTCATCGAAACTTGGTGCGTACCGTGTTGAATGCGTTCTACCATTCCTGATACCCATCGAAATGGAGGCGAGATGTGTGATGTTCTCAGCCATTCCTTCTCGTCGAAATCGGAGCAGAAGACCAATTTCTGGTCTGAAGACTTTTGCACAACCGACAAAATCTACCTGTTCAAGATATTTGGTGTTAACAAAAGCAATCATGTAGATACGACCGTGTCCATGCCGTAAAATTTCATCCTCGGCATCATAGCACATCTCCCGAACCCAGCAGCGCCATGAGCGGGAACGTGTTTCTGTCTCAACGACCCCATACCATCCTGGCGGGCGTCATGACGAAACACTGCCGGTGCGAGTTTTGTCGAGTATAATTATGCGATGAATGTCCGCACAGCAGAGAATGCTTGTCAATGGCTCCATGTACAAGCTTGACTTGATACACTGTTGCAGGTATTGGGATAAGAATATCGGCGATTGTTATACTAAATCGTTGATATCAAATGTTATCATGAGAAGGCCAGATCACTTCCTCTGTAAAGTTCCTCCGAGTACTCAGCAGGACATAGGATATCCCAGTCGAGAAACTGTGGTTGTTCGTCTTTCTTCCACGACGTAGCGCCCATCCGCCCACGTCCAAGGCGCTCAGAGTTATCCACGATCCACTTGCCGTACTGCTGAACCCAGAACAGTGGCCAGTAATATTCTCGGGCGGCCTTTTGACCTGGTGAGTTGAAGTGTGCCATGACGGGTATAGTACCCATACAGAGATGTGTGTACAGGTTGACATGTTCCCAGCTTCGTTGTTCAGGCAAGAATATTGTTTCGTCGTACATCTTCATGTCTGAGGGGATCTTGTAGTCGCCCTTGTATTCGCAGTCAAAGTCGTTGCGGTTGTCTCCACGTGTCTTGTTAAGGAAACCATCTGGAGAATCATCGTAGCGCATCCACATTGAATCCTTTTCCGAATTTGCCGTTTGATGACCTAGGTCGGAAAAGTAGTCCAGACCGATACCATACTCGTAAGAACGGCCTTCAGTAGCCTCCATCTTTTCGTGTGAGAAGGAAGGATTGAGGATGTCTGAAATCACTGTGCCCTCGATCTTGTTAACGGGAGATGTCTTCTCGTGTCGCCAAGTCCAGGACGAGGAGTGACGTCGTCGCATGACTTCTCGTTGATACTCCTGCTGTCCAAACATGATTGCGAAGACAGACTGATCACTTGCATGGTACACCAAGTCCATACTACCACTTCCACTGTCGGCGGGATGGGGGTCGGCCAATTTTGTACCATCTCCCAGGCGGCTCTGAACATTTCTCTCATATCTTTAACAGGACCAATGATATATCCAGAATTGATGTAGCGTTGGCGATGACTTGAGTGTGGGCTGTGACCCATGATCGTGTCCGTGTTGGCGCCGTAGAGGTCGTCAGGTAGTGGCGAAGGTGGAACTGGATAACATGCGATACTGTGTAGCTGGTTGGGTGCACAACGTTTACCAGCGCCAAAGATGATCGTCTGCTTGATGTTTTCAACCTCGGCGGCTTTGCCCATGTGCTTCGAGATTCTCTTGTCCGCTTTCTCGTTGATCGAATAATATCTCTCGATCAGGGTTTCGGGAGGCAGTTGGAACCAGATGTCGAACGCGTCCATCATAAGGACTAGATCGTCTTGTTGCTCAGGACTCATACTATCCAGATATTCGAGAACTCTCGAGATCTTGGCGAGATGCGAGCCGCCGGCAAGCAAGTACCACGTATCGAACGTGTCTCCCCATCCAAGGATCACAGGTTCAGGATAGCCCATGGCCTTAGCACTGAGGATTGTCTTGCAGAGGTTGACATCGCCGATGGTGGTTGGTAGAAGAACATGTAGCTCGGAGTCTTTCGGTCGTTTCGCTGCGACCTCGCTTTCGCCATGGGTGGTTGACAGCGGAGTCGTCTCTTGCGTCTGAGGCAGAAGGTGATATAAAGTGATAAATATGAACACCAGTAATGTTGCAAGGAGGATGTGATTTCGTTGGAGTGGTAACATGGTCGTCGATGGGCTTCGAGGACAAACCTAACTTGTGCAGAGACGCAGAGACTGAAACGAATCGAGAGACTGAAACGAATCGAGAGACTTTGGAAGAAAGGCGAATCCATCATAATATGATTGTCACAAACACAATGGACATCATTGTCCTTGTTCGCTTAGTCCGAGGGGCGACCTGTTCGATCCTTCCGAGGAATGGGGAATAAAGTCAAGGCCAAGGCCCTAGTTGATGAACCAGGTCGTGGATTTTTGAGCTGACGCATTTTAATAGCCCTTGTTTGTATCAAGTTACAGTCTTCGATGCAAAGCGTAGTGAGCATCAAACGATCTTGCACGTTAGTCTGGTTTTTTACCAGCTTCTTTACAATTGTGGCAGCGTTTTGTCCGCACGACTCCCATTCACTCTACAGCGCTCCCATTTCAGGAGGCAAATATCCGAAGGTCACATATTGAGATGGCCGTTTTTCAGCATCAAGGCAAAGATGCTCGGCCGTGTGCCAAGCCACTGGCTGTTGAATCGGTGCCAATTTCGATATCCTCGGAGTGAAGTTGGGCGGAAGACCTAGCCGAGTCTTGGGTGTCGTCATGCCGTGGGTCATCACATCTCTGATTCTGGGCGGGGACGGCTGCCATGGCATACATTCAAGAACTTGCTCGCGTCGATGGAGCGAGCGCTGTTGAGATCCATAGCCTGGAGTGTCCCATTGAGCACTGTGCAGTTGCTACCAACTCGTCTTCAGCCTGACTGCTGTTGCAGATGATGCTCGGTTCAAAGGTATACTCCTCAATGGTCATACTCGAGTGGTCGCGTGCTCCTGAGTTTATCGAGACGAGGCTCAAATGAAAGCTTGTACGGAGAACTGTGCTTAGACTGCCAAGACGGGAAGTGGCGGACCCCGGAAATAAACCGAAAGAGAGGCGGATCGTTTGTGACCAATGACAAAAGATTTGGTCGTGCTTTGCGCCCCTAACGAAGCATTCCGAGCAGGCCTCAAGACCAGCGACCAGCTTTCTCTGGTTGATCGTCTCGGTACAAATATCGCGGAGTACGTAGATCGCTGATAAGAAGAATGGTTGGAGCATCACTCGACCAGATGAGAATAGCCACTTCGACTTTGACGCGAAGACAACGCGAGAAGGATTCTTATAACCGCGTCAGCTTCAGGCAATGAAATCATCAGCCAGGCAGCAGACGCGATTGTTGCCTTGAGACCATGCTTATATCAGGACTGAGCTACCCAAATAGAGACTGAACAACTCAGCAAGAATTCAAACACGAACCATGTCCTCAACCAGAGAACTCGCAGAGACCTTACCACTCTACCCTCCGGACCCAACAGGTGGAAATGCACACGATTCCCAGCATAGCAGCTGGGCAGCCTATTCACTTGCACCTCTGAAAGAAGGTGACCAAGAACGCCTCTTGGATGACCTGAACACTGGCGATTGGACAACAGGCCAGTGTATTCTCGCGACCCAGCCAGACTTTTCCGGTCGCACACTTCGAGACATCTACGACCACCACATCGAAGCGAGCAAAGAAGACAATGAAATGCATCCCCATTTCATCATCGTGGCCGATCAGGAGGATTGGGATACCAACGGTGTTCTTCTGGTGTACCTGTACGCTTCGAGATCATTATCTCCTCCTGATGACGACGACTATGATGACGAATCCGTCGTTGGAGTCCTGCGCTGTGGAGTCGAGATGGTGGATAGTATCTGCTGCAATCTCGAAATCGCCAATATGAATTGGGAAGAATTCAAAGAAGAAGAACAACGCGATTGGGGTGGTGAGGACCACGAAACGAACCCACGATACTCCAAATACAATTTCAAGACAGGCGAGCTGAATTAAAGTCAAGACTTTTACCGTATGGGATCCGGTTGTCTTTCATTACGTGTTCTCAGTTACGGACTCTTTCAAGACTGCAGCTCTTATATGAAGATACTCTTTCTGGATTCCTCTTACAAGAACAACCCATCTTCCGGCGGTGCACTTATGAGTTGATCCTTCTGGATCTCCTTCAACAACTCATCCTCGTAATCCTCGAGATCGAAATCAATGTATCCCTTACTAGCCCACTTTCTCGCCGATAAGAAGAATGAATCGCCATTGACTTCGGGGTCACTCAAGATCCTCAGAAGGCATTGGCCTGCATCTTCCACGGTCGCGAACTCGACATCTTTGGACTTCACATGCTCAAAGGCTTCTTTCGAAAGAATCTTGGTCTTGACATACNNCTAGGCCAGTGTCAGGATCATTGTCAGCTAGCAGAGTGAGAGAATATACCATGGCGAGATCACATTGACACGACTACCGTAGAATTGTGCAGTTCGTCTTAGCGAATGCATGATTCCTCTGACCGCCCACTTGGTTGCTTCGTATTGTGGTGTGCGTGCCACATCCAAGAATGCAGCACCGGACCCAATCAACATCAAACAAGTGTCTTCCTGTTGCTCTGAAGGAGTTTGCCCGTTCTGTTTGATGAAGTGGTGAAGGCATAGCTTGGTGGTGTAAAGGACACCGTTCAAATTGACATCAATGGTCTGGAGGTTTGGTTTCTGAGGCCCGGTTTCTGCGTTGTTGTTGTCAGTCAGTGAGACACATATGGATTTAGGGTATTTGATGTCACCACTGTACTCATACACTTCGTCCTTTCTCGATATGCCTGCATTAGCGACGACATAGTGGATCTTTTTGGTCGGAGAGAAAGCCTTCGCTGTGTCGAAAAGACGGACTTGATCTTCCCAGCTCGTGGTGTCGCACTCGACAAACTTGGCTCTACGGCACAAAAAGTCAGATCAGAGAACCTGCATTCTTGCAAACGGGAAGAACCCTTCTTTACCCNNAGTCAATTCAGTCTCAAGTTTCTTTCCNCCTTCCACATCCAGGTCGCCGAAACACATGCTCACACTAAAGTCGTCCGTTAGTACAGTAAAATCTCTTGATGCATCGAGCCAGTGGTCATTCTACCCAGCTTTGNNTTTGACAAGAGCTCTGACATAACCTTCACCAATACCATTGGCGCCTACGATTGTCAGTATATACAAATGATCTCGTATTGGCTCCCACGTACCACCAGTCACAATAGCAGTCTTGCCTTTGAGATTGGAGGTGTCGAAATCGACATCACAGGGTACGGGGCCGGTATGATTGTATCCAGGCATTTCTAGGGCTGGTCGATAAACATGTGTGGAATGTTGAGTCAGTCTACACATGGCACATGCTGATACAAGGACAGTTATATGTATACAGTAGATGGTTTCGGCCGATGAGGCATTTCGGCCGAAAAATTGGTGTGCGTCATACAGTCAACTCCTAGTAACCACTGCGATGTGAAGGTCTCTATCAGCAATGATGACATGTCGAAAATTGGTAGGAATGAGTAGGTAAAGCGCTGCATCTATGGATGACTATGTACAAAGTGGAGATGGTACGTCTATAGATCTCAGAGTAGAAAGAAGACCACCTCAACAGGCACTTAAGGCTTGACAACATACTCCCAGGACAGAGCGTTGTCAACCAAGAAGGTAGCAGTGTTTGTCTTTGCAGCAGCAGTGGAATTGGTAAGGCCACAGGTCTGAGCAAAACTGCCCTGAGACTTAGCCTTTTGAGCGATGAGCGCAGCATAGCTATCGAGAGGGCACGACTTTCCGGGACCATTTTGGCAGGAGGTTACNGGCTTCAAGTTGTTAGCTGAAGTGATGTGATGTGATGGCGGTACTTCGAGTTACTTACGATAGACAGCATCGTTGAGTACTATACGGACATATTTCTTGTTCGAGCAATTTAGACGCTCGAAGCCAATGGTACCACGCATGGTCACATAGTGGCTAGCGATGTAGATNCTATGAAAGAAGTACTAGTATTAGCAAAGTCGATAACACACAGTACACCAAGGAGTTGGTACCTGGTCACTGGGAATCTTGGTGCTGGGCAAAGGCTTTTGCTGATCAAAAACACCAATCTCGGCGGCCAGCTGATTGATCTGACCATCGTTGGTGAACATGGGGATGAGCGGGCCGGGAGTCCATGACTGGCCGTTACTGTTGACGTATGTCTTGTTAGGGCCATCGACAAGTCTCTGGACGATGGCATTGAGGACTGGTTGCATCAACGTGTAGTTCTTTCCAGAGCCTGGGCCTNNACAAGAAATGTCAGCACATGGAGACCACAAAGATGTGCATGAATTCGACTGACCAGAACCGTAGTAGTAGCGCAGGTCCTGTGCGTACTCGTACTTGCGGAGTTCATCATCAGTAAAGACATTACACCATGGCGATCTACGGCCAGTGATCTGCGTCTCGAAACCGCACAAGTAGGGGAAGTTTTGGACGTCAGAGTCAGTGAAGTTGAAGTTGCCTTTGATGTGGCTATTGATGCGCTTGGTGACAGCAGGTAGATACAAGTTGTTCCAGGTGGTGAGGTTGTCACCACCACCGTTATCACTGTATGTTGGGCAAGAGTCCGAAGGAGCAAGAGAGTTGGCGACAGATTCCGGGACATTAGATTTGAGCACATAGACATCTCCATAGGTAGTGTTGGGGCCCAGGTATCCTCTAGCAAAGAGTCTGNNTAAGATCACGTTAGATTAGATACTGGGAGTTATATCAGGAACGGCTTACCTCGCGGAGTTGATGACTCTAGGTGCGTTGGGATATTGATTGGCAAAGACTGAGAAGGGGTTGTTTTCGGTGTAGAAATCAGGATATCTCCAGCGATAAGAGACACCCATGTCATACAGTTCTTTGTATCCTCCTATAGAGATATCTGCAATCTCAGCAGCCGGATTGCGGAGTACAGGCTCCCATGATGAGATGAAGCTGTAGTCACCCGTGGCAGTGAATTGAGCAGCATGAATCTGTTTGAATCAGTAAAGAAGCCTCATAATATGTCACCGGAGAGGAGATCAAACCTTCGCTGCGAGTGCTACCCACCCGTTATAGGCGCCTGTGTCTGGGTATCTGGAGCCGTGGCGAGACACGAAGGCCGCCATATCGACAGAGCAGCCATCTGGGACCTCGTATGGAATGTCGTTGACGTCGGGGCCTGGGAACCAAGGGCTGTTTCCACCAAGCTGTTGTGTTGGATCAGTGGCTGCTTGAGCAACACTTGCAGTCAGAAGCAGGCAATTGGCCAAGGTGGTAGCTGTGATGAGAACCATGTTGATTAGCTTTGCAACTTAGGCTTGCTGGAGATTGTGAAACATAAGCGCTGCTGCATCTTTATAAGTGATCAGCTGCACTAGGGCTCGTGGTTCCTAGCATACTGGTGGCAACTAGAAAACCATGCAAGCGAGGTGTTGCATGATATGAAGGCTTGTTCGCGAGATGTGCTTCGAGAATAGATGAAAACGTGCTTGAAGCGTGTAGATTCTGGCGTTCGCAAGACGGTACGAGTATGCATTAATCCCGCATCACTCAATCGGCCGGTCTATCTACTGTTTCAAACATGAGGTCTGATGAATCCAGGAACATGTGCCATATCAAGCACTCTGGTTGGCCCACTCAAATAAGGCCTTGGTAGAGGAGGGAAGGTGCAATCGATCCGACGACAGGCAAGCAAAAGACAGGCAATTTGAAGCGAGATTCGGTTGCAAAAGTCTTGAGACGCATCATCCGCCTCGCGAGTCTGCAGACCATAGCATAACTCTCCTTTCGATCCAGACATGCAAGTTTTCCACGACTATCTCGCGTGCACGTCAAGTCAAAGATTGAGTACGGTACACGTGCCAAGATGCGTTTGTTCATCTTGCTTGTGATACTCTATCAGGTCGCGACCATGGCTTGCACGCGCGAGACTATCGACTGGCGATCTACACAAGCATGCAGGATAAACAAAGACTTGCTCGAGGTATACATGTCGCGTAGGACAGTTTGCAAGTAGTCATCGCGAGTATAAAAGGCCAAGGTAGGAACGAACGAGATGAAGCCTTTTCAAGCAGTGCACCGAGTATTCGATCATCATGAAGCTCCTGCCTTTTGTGTCGGCCGGCCTTTTGTTCGCACAGTCAACTTCTGCTACTTCCCTCCAGAAGAGAGACACAGTCAGCGATATTCTGGATGACATCAAGAATGCTGCCACTTGCACTGCTTGCCAGGTCTGATTGACAGCTCTGCCAGCAGCAATGTCGGCTAACATATCAAAGTCCTTGCTGGGTGTCCTCCAAGCTGTTGCCCATATTGGCAACGATGCTTTCGTCGGAGTGATCACTGCAGTCTGCCAATCGCTTGGAGTAAGATCGCCCAGGACGTCTGTCTGGTGCTTTGTACTCTGACACACGTTTAGANCCGAAGACAAAGATGTCTGTGCTGGTGCAATTGCACTCGAAGGACCCATCTTGGCTCATGACCTTCGTAATCTGAAGATCGGCTCGCACACTGCCCAGCTCTTCTGCGGCACTATCTTTGGACTGTGCGACTACCCAGCCGTGACACCCTACACTGTTTCGTTCCCCTCGGCCAAGCCTGCTGGAGCTGCTCGTCCTCCACCCAGTGGAAAGACGCCTTTGAAGGTCGTCCACTACAGCGACATCCATGTCGATCTCTCCTACACAGTCGGTGCTAACTACAACTGCACCAAGAACATATGTTGCCGCCCGTACACGGCTGCCGATGCTCCTGGAATGACCCAATTTCCTGCCGGTGCTTACGGTAACACTCAGTGCGACAGCCCACGCAGTCTCGAGCAGAGCATGTACAACGCCATCAAGACCCTCGTGCCTGACGCGGCATTCTCTCTCTTCACAGGAGATGTTGTCGAGGGTGCCGTGTGGCTCGTCAACCAGACCGAGGTCACCGGCGACCTGAACAATGCCTACTCACTCATGTCCGGCCTTGGCATGCCTGTCTATGGTGTCGTCGGTAACCACGATGTTGCCCCTGTCAACAGCTTTCCTCCCGCTGCTGTTGACACCACCATCTCAAGTCAATGGGTTTACGACACTCTGTCGTCGGCCTGGACCAAGTGGATTGGCTCTGCAGGTGCCACCGAAGCCGACAAGTTCGGTGCCTATTCGGTCAAGAACCCCAACACCAACCTGCGCATCATTTCTTTCAACAGCAATCTGTACTACAAGCAGAACTTCTGGCTATACGAGGAGCCCATGGAGACTGACCCTAGTGGCCAATTGGCTTGGCTGGTCTCTGAGCTCGCTGCTGCTGAGAAGGCTGGCGAGCGTGTCTGGCTGACTGGTCATATGCCCATGGGATCTGGCGATGCTTTCCACGACGCCTCAAACTACTTCAACCAGATCGTCAAGAGATACAGCGCCACTATCGTTGCCCAGTTCTATGGTCACACCCACAGGGACGAGTTCCAGATCACGTACTCTGACTACAAGACTCAAACAGCTGCCAACGCCATCGACGTGTCTTACATCGCCCCTGCTCTGACTCCCACTTCTGGCAATCCTACTTTCCGTGTCTACTCTGTTGATCCCGTCACTTTCGGTATCCTGGACTACACCGTTTACTTTGCCAACTTATCCTCCCCCACTTACCAGAGTGGCCCAGTCTGGCAGAAGTTATACTCTGTCAAAGAACAATACGGTGCCAAGCTCAGCCCTCCCGTCACTGCGGCATCTGCTGAACTCACGCCTGCCTTTTGGCACAACGTGACCACTCTCTTCCAGAACAACGATGCCGTGTTTCAACAATTCACTGCTCGCAAGTCTCGTGGTTATGACACATCGACCTGCACTGGCGATTGCAAGACTAGCACCATCTGTCAACTCCGCGCAGCAGAATCTCAATACAACTGTGTCACTATCAAGCCTGGTGTCAACTTCAAGAAGCGTGATGTTGCCGCTGATCTCGCTCACTCTGACGAGTGCGATGGCTCTGCAGGTGCCAAGATCTTGAGTGTCCTGACCAACAACATTCCGACTTTCGAGCAGGTCCTGCAGAAGCAACTCGGTGCCAGTTTCATGAGCCAGAGTGTCAATGGCACCACCTCTTAGGTAATGGAGTCATGGCCTATGATCCCGACCCTCGTCCTGGAGATCACATACGATACTTGTCTTGACCTTGAAAGATTTGTTTTGGATGGGAAAGTCACATTTAGAACACTTGGTGAACTAGAAAGTAGAAGAATAGTCAATCCTTTTTATCGTCGAATCTTCACATTGCGATGCGTCTCTGATGGCCCAACAGATGCTCGCAATGCTTTCCCCACTTCGTCATTATAGTAATGGATGAAAAGAAGATGGAAGGAAGTAGGCAAATCACGCTGGATAGAGTGTCAATTCTTGGCGCGTTTCGCTCACGTAAGCCTCCACCTATCTCCATCACCTCAATTCTCATCAACAACATCTTATATAACTCGGAGACACCCATCAGGTAACGCCGTTGCAAGACAGAAGTGAGAGACAATCCTAGACCATCAAAACAAACCCCGACCATGCCCACGCGACATCTCTCAAAAGACTACCCATGGGTATCCTCACCACCAATCATCTCAGCACCCATGAGCGGTTTCGCCGGCCCCGCTCTAGCCCACGCAGTCTACAAAGCAGACGGTCTAGGTTTTCTCGGCGGTGTGCCAGACATGGCAGCCCTTCGAACAGCTCTTGAAGACGTCACAGGACTAGTCACAGGAACCCGTACTCCAGCATCTGGACACACATTACCCATTGGCCTAGGAGCTTTATTGTTCGCGCAGAAACTCGAAGAAGTTGTTGCACTAATTGCCGAGTTTCGTCCTGTAGCAGTTTGGCTGTTTGCCGCACACGAATCTCCAGATTTCGCGCTTTGGACAGCGGAAATTCGCAAAGTGAGCGCAAACACCAAGATATGGGTTCAGATCGGGAGTGTAAGAGGTGCGGTCCACCTAGCCCAGTCTTGCAAGCCAGACGTACTGGTGCTACAAGGCGCAGACGCAGGTGGCCACGGCGGCGAAAAAGGCGCGGGCATCATCTCCCTGATCCCAGAAACCTTGCACGCGTTGCAAAGGCTAGAGTTGTTGGACAACATATCCATTGTAGCCGCAGGCGGTATAGCAGATGGCTCTGGCGTGGCCGCAGCCCTAACGCTCGGCGCAGACGGCATAGTCATGGGAACAAGATTTCTCGCCGCAGAGGAAACATCAGTGCATCCTTTGTACCGCGCCGCAATCCTCGAAACCGAGGACGGAGGCCAGACAACCGTGCGGGCAAAGCTGTTTGATGAATTGGCTGGTCCAAACATCTGGCCCAAAGATTTCGATGGCAGGGCTTTGGTTGCTCAGAGCTATAAAGATCACATCGAGGGTATCTCGATTGCTGAGATTCGCAAGTCTCATGCCGAGGCGAAGCAAACCTCTCATCTCGGCTTTGATCAGGAGAATAGGAGGGCTGCTATTTGGGCAGGCACGGGAGTTGGCCTTGTGCGTGAGAGAGCGCCTGCCGCAGAGATCGTCACAGAGATTCGGGAAGCTGCAAAAGTGACATTGAGAAAAGCGCTGACGAATCTGGAATGAGGCGGGTACGTCTGCAAGTTTCATCTTCTGAGAACGGTCATGATCCAATGATATATACGTTATGTTGCCACACAATGAAGGTTTTATGCATCGAGAGGCTTCTGCCACCTCAAGCACATATTGCATACTCAGATGTTTCCAATAACACTTTTGGCGAACTGCGCAGCGGGAGTAGTATCTTGGATGGCATAGGAAAGATGAGCAGCAGAAATGATGAAAGCGCCATTGCACACACCATCGAGGAGATTGCAGTAGACCTTGGTGCGACCAGAGTCAATGTTTCTGAAGCCAGTCAACTGGAGCGGGTCACCGAAAGTAAGAGCGACCNNTATAAAGTCTGTGAGCGAATAGCCATATACTGATATATCGTGATTAAGACTTACAGCGACTTGTCCATTCTGGAGGTTCATGAGAGCACCGTGAACCTGCTCAGCACCTTGAGAGTAACCGGCAAGGATAATCTTGGTGTCGGGGCACTTGCTTAGAGCCTGTTGAGTCAAGCTGGCCATAGTGCGGGCACCCTGAGCAGTGGCAGGACTGAGAGCACCACTGATGGCACCAGCGACATCTGCAGGGTATGTGACGCCCTGAGTAGCGACGTTGTTGCTGCCAAANGCTGATTCCAGCGCTCTTTCGAGAGCTGGGCCAACAGTGGAACCCATATTACCGATCTCCGTGGTACCACGAGCGAAGATGTAAGTCACGGGCTTGCAAACGCCGCTCGTGACATCGTTCTTGGTCGAGCTACCAAGGCCACTTCCAAAGCCAGGGAAGCCGCCAAATTGAGGAGCGGCAAAAGGTGCTGCGAAGGCGCTAGTTGCAGCAAGACAGGTGACGAAGCAAGACTTCATATTTGTGATTGTATGCCTCTGTTATTGTGGAAGCGAAGGACAAATTGAGCGAATGGCTGTAACAAACGAAAGTCTTTGGCGGTTGGGAAGTTCAGGTTGCTGATGATCCAATTACCACACAGGAAGGCTGTCAAGATTTATACATGGAGCCTTCGTACGAAAGACTCGAGACCGAGGCATTTTTTCGATATAGACACTGCTACGGCGAAGCCAAGGCGGGCCGGTGGTAGGGTCGTGTATGGGCCAAGATGAATCTCACCACCATCGAGAGAATTTACAAGTGTTCAGGTGTAGTGTTGCTAATTCATAGTAGCTAAGTGCATGGTCCAAGTAATTGGCTGCCTCGCTTGGGCTTGGCCTATGGGGCTGTATGGGGACCAGTCGGAAAAGTATGACACCAAGAAGGCATGACAGGGTGAACTCTAAATGCTCGTCTCTAGGTCGTGAAAGGGCTCTCGGAGCTTTGTGAAGATTGGAACAAGGCAGTCCCGGAGTCTTTATATGCCAGATATCGCCCTCACTGCAAGGCGAGTATCATCTCCATATAAGCAAATGAATGTAATCAATGCAGAAAGATCCTGGCATCTTTCTGATGCTGTACCACTGCGAATGCTATGCGTGTTTGAGACCTGAAGTCTTGGAGGGCGACTTCTCAATGACCAAGGACCGGATCGTGCGGCGCGCTTGGTCGGAAACTAAGTCAGCCAACGACAGTTTACGGTCGGCGATGCATTGATGAGTTGCTAACCATCCTGCCCATCGATCCCGGGGGGACGTGATTGTTGTGGAGATCTATATAGTGGGCCTCTCGCGTGCACCGGGCTCTAGCAGTAAACGAAAACTGGAAGAGGGAAGTATAAGAGTCTACAAGTGCTTAGTAGTTTGATGGATCAAAGACCGCGTGACTTGGCCTTCCGAACTGTGCAATTGTAGGCGGAGCTCGTCTCTGTATCCTGAAGAAAAGCAGAAGCGTTATACCAAGACTTGTCATCGTGTCTTGAAACAGCGGACGACAGCATCTCGGTTCATAACTCACAATCCGCTGAAGACTCTTTCCCGGCTACAAGACTGGGTCTCAGACTTGCAAGAACGATACGGGCCTTCCTTCGTCGATCACCATCAGAAAGAGTGAGCAACGGACGTAAAGTCGATGGCAGGCACGGTGGCTGGAAACCCAGCCCTCGGAAAGTGCATCCGTGCCTCGGCTCTGATTGCATGTTCGCAACCTCAGCCCTTCCAGCACTTCTTCCTTCTTGGGACTGAAGGAGCAAAGTATAGCTTGTGTTCACGAATCAACAGCAAGTTTGCACGACGCTCACCACTAGGAACTTTTGCTCCTGTCAGCCAGAGAGACGGCTATGTCGGCCACAGGAACGAGATTTTTCGTCAACAGCTCGGTTGCACAGCCCGTGGTGAATGAGTCTCTTAATCTACTCTACTCTAAGATACTCTATTGATCGAGCATAACAGATGACTACATTCAGCATGCTGCATGCGTATACAAGAAGAGCTCCACATCAATATACGGTCAGTCCCACTTGTATATTGTATATCGAAAGTCTAGACTTGCGTAATAACAACAACAAACACACCACTGTTGCATCGCCCACCGCGCATCGTGCCACTATCAAAGTATCTCAAGCAACCATCGCGCAAACCATGACACGCAGAGAAACAGAGCATTCGAGAAACTTGATCAGATTTGCTCGAAAGAATTACCAGTACCCAAAGAGATCTTCCCAACCACACCAACAATCTACCCATCCCAGAACTTTTCCGTTCGTAGCCCCTTTTGTTTAACCAAAGAGTTAAGAAAGTCCCCTGCCACCGTAGTCCACCCATGATCTAGATAAGATAATACTACAACATCCCACCATAATGCCCTTGTTCTCTTTTCCTCCTGAACCAGAAAAAGTAAAACCACACCGAAAGAAGGAGAGTACAGAAAAAAAAAAAGCCCGACATGCCGAAAACGAAAAAGAGAAAAAGGTAAATGATAGAAGGTCGTGAAGAGGTCGTGATGAAAAATGCTGATGCTGTGGTTTTTCTGGTGTTGCTGTGTTGTGTCGTTGATCGTGTCATTACCCATTGTCGATGCGCTGCGAAGAGAAAAGAAAAAAGACAAACAAGAGGTATCATGTGAAAGCAAAAATCATCCGGAAAGTGCAATGGACCGACACCAAAGAAAAAGACATCCCAAACTGCCATGATGGAAGCCAGTAACGCAGGTAAAGAAGAGCAGCATCACTCCTTCTTCTCCTTCCCTTGCTTCGACCTGCACATCCCACAACCACTAGCCCCTACAGTGCGTGGACAAGGCACGACCGGACACCCCTCTTCCTCCCAAAGTATATGAACGCCAAAGTCTTTGCCAGCCTCTCCATTCAAGAACTTGAGCACGACCTCCTGGTTTGGAGGAGAGTGAGAGTCTCTGGCGCGGACGAGAGCAAGCATCTGAATGGGCGAGATGGGACAGTTGCGTCCCTTAGACTTGGACTTGCCATTCAGAGGCTTGTTGCGCTCGCGGACCAGAGGGTCGTTGGCGACAAGGTATGCTTTGACATGCGTCCAGTGATGGGACCGCGAGTTGTCATTGCGGTTCTGCTTGCCGTTGCCCTTCTTACCTACGGTACATTGGGTCTTTGGATCTTCGGGATTGAGGCGGTGATCGGAGATGTAGCAAGCGTAGTCGTACCTCTCCGAATGACTATTCTGATGCCGCTTACAATGTTCCGACCTGGCGAACTTCAGTCCGCAGCCCGGGTGCTTGCATTCGTGGGACTTCTTTTCCGTGTTGAAGTTCTTCTGATCCTCCTTCGACAGCTTGCTGTATGCTGCCGACTGCTCATCGGTCAAGAGCGTGATCGAGGTGTTCGAGTCATTCACAGGAACACTCCTGCAGATGGAGCGACGCTTGTCGGCTTTGGACATCTTGCGGCCTTTCTTGGTGAGGCTGGAGCGAGATGTAGTGCCATAGACGGAAGAAGACGGTGATACATCATGGGTGACATATGAGGCATCAAATGAATACTCTAGCGTAGATGGAGTCGTGGGAGAGAACTCTGGTGGAGAAGAGGAGTGCAGGATGTTACTGTCATGCACAGGGGTCTGGAGGCCACCCCATCCGGATATGCTCATGTTGTAGTCCAGCTCTGGCGGTTGATGGACTGCCTGGCTAGGGGCGATAAAGGTCGGCAGGTGTTCGTGGTGAGGATCGACGTCCGTCATGAAAGACGCCGATGGATCCTGCGAGGGCAACATGAATAAGGAGTTTGGGTCCGGCGCGTAGTCGACATTCGAGTAGTGGCTCATTGTCGAGCTGTTCCAATCATGATCGGTCGACAACAATGCAGAACTGTCCTGGTAGAAAGGGTCGGCTTCAGACTTCTGTCCGAATGCCATCGACGAGTTCCACGTCGGCGAGTTACAAGCTGTGGTAAAGTGCTGTTGCCCTTGAGTAAAGTCCACAGGGGGGCTTGGAGGATATTGATGGAACGAGAGCTTCATCTTGTCGGATGGTATAACGTTGTACATGTCTTGGCCGGTGAACTGGACGGGTGTATTGGGGTGATAATTAGACAAAGGTGCCTGGTGGAAGTTCATGTCGTAAGAACTACGACGTGCACTATTTGCCGACTCAGGTGGAGAGATCAAGGCCTGATGTCCATGGAACGCGTTGGTATCAATGGAGAGATTGGCCATGCGGCGGTTCGACATCTCGAAAGACGCTGGAGACATCATTAGTATCGTTGTTGATGAATTCCACACCCAAGACCCGTTGAAATGTGGCTTGAGATAAGAGAAAGAAGACAGGAGAGTGAAGAAAAGGGATGAAAGCACGTTGCTTCTCCCTTCATTATATCTGCTTCAACTTACCACTGTACGGATTCTGTTCCCTCATGATGACTGGCTGAACGTCAGTTGGCTTGTGCGACCTCTGGGTCGTTGAATCAGTGGCCTGGGTTCCCTAGGGTTCGAGCCTCCTTGGATGCTGGGGCACGGCTAGGCTAATTTCAAGGTAGGGCCGCTCGATCTGGATTGGAATGTGACTGCAAGGGACACGGATGACAACTAGGGGCCTGAAGAGGAATGAACCCAGGTACAGAGAACGAACGTACACCCTCAGAGTGATGAAAGGGTAAGCAAATGAGAGGGGAAATACACAATATTGGTTTGTGCCTGTATCAGCCCTGCAGTAGAGTTTGAAGCTGAAGGGTGCTTGTAGGAAGAAGGGATGTTCAATGTTCGCCCCTGCAGGGACTCTTTATGTAGAGGCTCCTGACGCCATATCTTCTCCACCGATGGCCCCCATCATCACAGGCAAGAAAACACTAGGATAGAATCGACTGGACGAAACGCGGGTCAATCCCACCAGGCGCTACCAGCCTAGAGAGTCCCAGAAAAAGCCGCATAGCAGGAATGATCCTCAGATCTCCAAGAGACTACCGGGCTTGCCAGAAAGCTGTTGCTGGATGTGTGGTGTGTGGTGTTATGTGGTGTGTGGCACCAATGATATGCAAAGCAACACTACGCACAGATCAACAGACCGAGTCTTCGAAATCTGGTAGAAGAATTGCTTGGACGAGGTGTTCCTGATACTCTAGGGAGGCCGTCTCGACTTGCTGCTGTGGAGGCTCTTGATCTTCGCAGGGGGCTGCTCAGACGCGGTCGACGGGTACACAACAGCTTGCCTGGCATTGTCCGGATTGAGCAGACGCGGATACTGGCTGAGTTGTCTCTGATATGGTCCCAACAGCCAGTTCTCTGTTTTCCTCCCGTGCCTCTTTGCTGTCTTCGAGACGGGTTCCAGCAGGTGTCAATGTAGGAAGCCCTATTTCGACGATGAGAGTAAATCTTGTGTCCATAACGTCCATTTGTTGCAATACTGCGTCCAAGGCCATATCAATTGATGGGAAACGGATACTCTCTCATCTATGATGATCCATCACCGGGTCTGTCGTTCAGCGGCTCAAGTGGTGGTCCGTGACGTCTTGTGCAACGCGAATGACAAGGATTCGGGCTCTCCAGCCGGGTTCAATCGCGCCACCACAAAATGACATTCATCGGAGGCTGCGTCCTGCAGGTCTATTGCGCAGGTTTGATGTGCAGAGCATTCCATCGACAGTCATACAACGACGCTGTCAAAATTCAACGGAAGTTTGGCCCGGATTGTTTATCGACATTCGAAGGGTAGGCACATATTGACAGACGGGTACCAACACCATCAGCCGCGCGCGTCGCATTGTTGCGTTGGAATAGACGCGGGGAAATGTCTCAAGGATGAAGGAATGATGCAAGCCATAATGTCGTCTGTCTTGTCAAGAACAACCATAGGTCGCACCTGTCCAGTGGCTGGTGCGGGAGAGAGAAAAGCGAGTGAAGTGGACAGCAAAAGGCTTGACTTCGGCATCAGGAACCCGTCCAGTCAATTGGCAAGTCAGGCACACACACACCGCCCGCAACAACACCCTCAGGCAAGTGGTGAGGATGCAGGTTGCTTCTTGCCAATGTCCGATTTGCAGGAACCAGAAAGTCACGACAGGAAGATACGATACAGCTGCAGGTCCCGTTCTCTAGAGCCGTTGAGTTGATTGCAGATGCATAACTGGTACAGCGGCTGCACGTCAAGTTAGGGGAGACATTGCAGAGATTTAGGAAGTGCTTGTAGGAACAGGTGAAGCTATTGCTCTTCCCCTCAAGTGCGGTGAGCAAGCTGTGCTGTTTCAGATGCTGCAACGACCTGCAAGCCCAGGACTTTAGCCTGATCCTCCATGAATACGGTGCCTAGATCTCAGTCAAGTTCGGAATCGAGCAAGTATGCTGCACATCCCCCAGGAATGGGCGATGTCGTTGCTGCGGTACGCCTCCCGGTCTCCGTGTGACGTGCATTCCAATGAACGAGGGGCAATGTAACAATGACATGGATGAGAGAAGAGGCTGGCGTGATGGCGGTGCGATGTCTCGATGATGAGGGAGGTAGAGACACGGTGTTCACGGCAGAGCGGGCCTCATGTTCCTGTCACGCCGTACTGCCAGTCAAGCCTTGTTGACCCGATACAGGCATGACGCTCTTGGTATGCAAAGACAAGCCATCCAGACGATTTGCACGGTGGTACACCACTTTGGAAGCCAAGACAGTATGATAGAATGCAGGATACATACATGGGAATGCAAGTGATTGTAAGCTCCTCACAGCTTTGAACGGCCGAGTATACTACCACCATCGATGACGATATGGGCGCCGTTCAGGTGACTGGCTGCCCTTGAACAGAGATATACGACGGTACCAGCGATGTCTTCAGGTTTGCCTAGTCTCTTATTGGGGTTTGCATCAGCCAGAGCCTGTGTACCACCAGTTAGAGCCATCAGGCCGTTTGCCATTTTTGTTGGGAAGAAGCCAGGCGCAATGCTGTTACAGAGAATGCCTCGGGGACCCAACTCGACGGCCAGGTTGCGAGTTAGATGAAGAGCTGCGGCCTTGGAAGCGCTGTAGCCTGGGGTTGCATTGTCTCCCAATGAACCAATTCCAATGCCCGCAACAGATGCTGTGACGAGCACACGAGAAGGATCTCTCAATGAAGCCTTCTTCTCAAGCAGCGGGGCGAACCTGGAGATGCGAATTAGCTGGCAGGCAAGACATGAAATCTGTGACTGGACTTACTTTTGAATGCAGTAGAAGACACTGTTGACGTTGAGATCCATGACCTTGGCAAAGGCCTCGGCCGGGTGCTTGTCAAATGGAGCACCCCAGGTTGCGCCAGCATTGGCAAACAGAATGTCAATATGATCCGTGTGTTTTCCGACTTCTGCTACCAGACGCTCGATCTCTGCAACCTTTGAAATGTCGGCCGGGATGGAGATGGCCTTGCCCTTGATGCCAGGCAGCTTGTTAAGGGCATCGCATGCTTCCTCGCATGCCTTGGCCTTGCGGGAGGAGATGAAGACCTTGGAACATCCGGCCTGGAGGAGACTGTATGCATGTGANCTCGGTCAGACAATGAAACAACCACAGGTGTAACACATGGCTACCCACCCAGATGCGGCGTGGAGACCGAGACCTCGAGATCCACCAGTGACGACGGCCACCTTTTGGTTCAGGGAGAAGATGGACGAGAAGTCCTCGAGCTTGACGTCTGCTTCGGCTGACATTTTGAATGGTGATTGTGATTTGTATCTTGGTTGTGAGAGAGTCTTGGAGCTGCAAATATGTCGAGTCGTCTGCCCATCACAGTAGCCGCGGATGCGGAGGACAATGCGGAGACTAAACAACATACCGAGGCTTCTGATAAAGGTCTTGGCATCATATCATTGCTTCTCGGAGCACCCTGTCTTTCAAAGGATCTGCTCACGAAATGGCCATCCTGCTTCTGATCAAGGGATGATATATTTGAACCGTGACCTACGTTGCCAAAGCTGTTTGTCGATGTCTCGTGGTCATGAATGGAGTTCGTGTGTGCTTCCTGACGTTGCGTGAGCTTGTTGATAGATCCGAGCCTGATGGACAGCGAAAGATTAGACGTCTATCCGAGCAATCTTCAAGATTAGACATAATTCTTTGAGCTTTTTTTCTATGTACAAGTTTCTCCAAGCTAAGAGAGAACGACAGCTCTTGGGCTATCCAGGCATATTCCCGAAGACGCCTGCTTTTGTCCCCAGTCTAAAGAACAAAAACCAAAATCATCTCTTACGGGGTATCAAGCCTCCGTCCACCAGCTGCTGTAACAGCACCTTCCAAAGTTTCCCATGACTTCGTTCTATCATGTCAAACCCCAAACTACAAAGGGAAAAAAACGCCGGTAAAATGCGACAATATCTGTTCTTTCGTGCGATCGTTGCAGCACACCATCTCCTGCAGCGTGCTCGAAAGAGGTTGCTGCGAGAGAAGCGGATCAAGCTCGCGACTTTTGCTCACCTGCCAGTCTTGCTGAAGCTGAGACGCTCATGTGAGACTTTTGCTTTTCCAATTTGCCGCGGCACACCCTCATCGTCGCTCTCGGCCAAATCGCCGAGGCTGAAACCGCCATTGGTGGCCTCAACATCGTAGTTGTGCATCAAAGCTTCTCGGTCGCGATCACCGGATCTTCTGCCAGCAAAAGACAAATTGAGGCTGTTTGAGCGACGGTGTTGTGCGTCGGAGCTACGACGAGCTTGCATAGATCGACGGGTCAGGGGACCAGACATGGGATCGGTGGGAATGCCGTCGAGGTCGAAGCGGCTGCCGTTTCCGTTCAGTTGCATGTGGCCGTGGCCTTCAGGGTCTTCGCGCGAGAGATTGAGGAGGTAGACACCGGTGAAGATGGTGAGGAAACCGCACAGGAGCGAGATTGTGTTGACTGCGTCGCTGGTGTTGAAGCCTCGGAAGAGAATAAAGGATGCGACGAGGGTGCAGGTAGTGAAGGTGACGTAGTATAGCGGGTTGACACTAGGCAGGTCAGCGGCGGATTGGGAGATGAACGCGAGATGGACATACATGTTGGTGTTGAATTGACTCAGGGCCTTGTTGAAGTAATTCATCTGTGTCAGAATGCAGACAACCGTGACGAGGATGAAGACATAGGTGCTGGGGTGAGTGAACTGGTTGTAGCCAGCAAAGGTAAGCTTGACGGCAATACCGACTCCCTTGACGGCCATGATGGAGACGGAGCCGACGGTGCTGCAGATGGAAATGTAGATCAGCGGGTTCTTGCGTCCATAACGCGGGCACACGCGGTAGATCATGACGGTCGAGAAGACGATGACCAGCAGCACGTAGAAGAGGAAGCCTGGTNNCCATGTCAGCGATGCGTCAAGTGTAAGCTTCTTACTGTCGCCCAACTCACCAGGCTGAACAGCGTAGTTCAGAATCTCGTCAATCGTCTGCACCTCTTTATCCGGCGGGGCGTGTAGTACAATGACGACGGATCCAATCAGACAGATGGCACATCCCAGCTTACCCAGCGTGCCCAGGTTCTCGCCGAGGAAATATGATCCTAATACCGCTCTGTGTGCGCCTTGTCAGCGTGCTTGTCCGTGTACGTATGTGCTTCCAACTCTTTACTGACCCNNGATCAAGACACTGAGGGCTCCCAGCGGCGTTACTAAAATCGGTGGTGCGAACGCATATGCTGCAAAGTTGGCCACTTCACCGATAACCACTGTANNCGGTGTGAGTTTGTTGAAGAATGTGTAGAAGACAGGTGTAGGCGTACTTGTGATAATGCCAGACCACCACACTGGACTCTTGAGATATGCGAAGCCATCTCCTTCAAAGCCGTGTTGTTGACTCGCTTGCATCAAGCCCTTTTTGTGATTACGAAACTCGTTCCTTGTTCAGATTTAGCGGCGTGGTTCGCAGTGCTCGAGGTAGGGCGCATTACCTATCGCAAGTGTTGAGGCGACGGCTAACGCCAGTCCGATGTACCTAGAGAGAGCAATGTCAGCGACATGTTTGTGTTGGGTAGGCGCAGGGGATCACACTTGTCTTCGACCATGGCTGGTCTGCTGTGTGTGCTTGACTCGACGAGTTGTTGCGTGAGCTGCGAGGATGGAGAAAGCGGGATGCGACAAAGAAGAGGGCGCGTCGGATCGGGGTCGAAGCAGCTTTGTGCCCTCTCTGCTTGTACTCGTCAAACAGGGGGATGGATGTTGTAGAGCGGATGGTGAACAGCTGAAAGCAAAAAGTCAAAGGGGTCGAAGGTCGCAATAGGGTTGGCCAACTTGTCCCTTTGAACCGTTGGAGCTTCCACTGGCAGTTGTGACTGTCACTCCCGATCCCTGTGGCTGAAGGTCAACAAGGCGTGACATAACCCATCAAACACGAGTCCAACAAAACCCGCCGCATCTCTGTCTGAATGATCACGAGTGTCGACTTTGAAACTTGCACAAAGCACTCTTTGCTTCTGTATTTAGCTACACTAGCTATTGTTTAGGGGGCCCTTCGTCTCTTGCCTTTGATCTGCCAGAGAAAGAAGGAACATCGCTGCTTGCTTGTCGTTCCTGCCAAGCCGCATCCGCCTCCATTGCGTTTGCGACTTCCGCGCGCGAACTCTCCTCGGCTTACGCGGTGGAGGACCTATTTTGGGCCTCTCGAAATCGATATGCTCCACCGGCGCTTCCAGTAGTAGGACGCTGCCATAATCGTATACGCCGTCACCCGTATGGTACCGTCTCTCGTCTCATTGTTACATGTCACATATCTGCCTGTCATGCGGCTCTTCTGCGACGTCCCATGTTTTGCGTTGAAATTGGTGTTACAGCTGGAAGCCCATGCAATTTTGTTCTCCATATAACTCCGCTCATGCTCTTCATCATGCTTCATGAAATGCGAGTGGTACAGAATCCATCTGAAATCTTTGACAACTCTTCTATCCGACCTCGGTGGAACTCCATTTCTCTGACCCTGACCCAGACCCAGACCCAGATCCATCTGGATCAGATATCGTCATTTCGAGCAACCTCCTAGATACGAATGGTTACGCCGTACGATCCCAGAAATGCTGATAGATTGCATATCAAATAGTACTTCTAAAGATTGAGAGGTACAAACTTCTGACGGCGGCCTTTGCCACGAGGCGCAGGAGGAGCGACCTCTGGCTGCGAGTGCACAGGCTCTTTTGCAAGTGCTTGTGTCGAAGGTTGCGCCGTTTGAACTGGCTGCACAGGTGCGCGCACAGGCGAGCGGATTGTTTGTGCAGCGGCGACGTTGGCCGGGCCTCCTGCAAGAGTTGGAAACTGCTGGCCATATGCGTGAGCCTTGTTGACTGTCGGTGGTGGAGCCGTAGTGGCCGGCCCTTGTTCTTCAGCTTCAGTCAACTCGTCAAACAGGCCGCCTTCAGGCTCATCTCTATTACGGCCGATGGCACCGATTATGCGCCATGCACGACGGAACTCATCTCTGATGGCGACGATGCCGGGGTGCGTGACAGTTCGCGCTACATTGTGCGTAGTCTCGAAGGGATCCTCGATGGCAAAGAGATATCGGTGGCGTACTTCCTTGTTGTCGCCGACTTCAGTCTTTGCACCTGTCCAACCCTTTTCATCCTTGGACAGGAGGCCGCCTTGAGATCTCAAGCTGAGCACATCGCGCGTCCAAAAGAACCCACCAGAATTGACGGCATAGTACCGGAAGAAGCCAACCAGCAAGTTGCCCAACGACTCCTTGTTCTGTGTGATCGCACCTTGGCTCGCACGACTTTCAATCACGTCTTCCTTATCGAAGAAGCGAACTTCGTAGCCGTCGACGGTAGTGGAAGGTAGACCGTTGGCTTCAGCCTCATGTTGCAGATTAGGCAAAACAGGAGGATGTGTTACGTTTACAAGGTAATGCAAAACCATCAGCACGTAACCATACGATGACAGGGTGCCTGAGTAGGAGGAGTTGATCTTCCTGCGCTTAGCCCATGACTTGATGAAGAGGACCATGGGTCGGACTCTCGGATCACACTTTGAGTAGCAGCGCAACATTTGAGTGTTGTGAATACCTAGGGGGTTGAAGAAATTGATGTCACATTGGATACCAACACCATCCTTGGGAAAATCCAGAGGACCGGCAGCCTTTTCACGTCGCCAGCTTCTGTCATTTCGTTGACGGTTTGCCTGTTTGTCGTGAGGTTGCTGTTGGTGAGGTTGTTGAGTATTCTCTGACTTTGAGGTGGCTTGAGGTGGGCTCGAAGATGCGTTTTGATCGATTTGTAGAGCTTGTGTCGACTCGACAAGTGATGCGACATCGCCTGTAGGCTTTGCTTTTTGAAGAATAGTGTCATTCTCTGCGGAAGGCTCAGCGCCATCAATTTGGGGCTCAGTCTGAGTAGGAATATCGAGGGCGTCTTTCTTAGAAGCTGTGTCGTTGGCAGATGGTTTGGAAGTGGCATACTTCTCGTCTTCAGGCAGGTTGTCCCACTTCTCACGAGATTCTCGAAGAGCATCCAAGAGTTCTGGAGGTGGGTCTTCACAAATCTTGATGATGGGCACACGTGTACGAGTAAGTAAACGAGCGCCAATGCCATTATCAAGGAGTTGTCTTTCCAGAACTCGAGGGAGACCGTTCTCGTGCGATGAGAAGCGCTGACTCAAGTCATGCTCCGATAACGTGACGATGGCCAAATCCATATCTGAGCCAGCAGTAGCAAAGCCAGAACTAAGACTGCCAAAGCTGGCCAGTTCGACAGAAGGAAGAGGGTTTCCTGGGTCTGGAGATTTGAGATTCTCAAAGATTTGTTGCAGCCTGATACGAAAAGCGTCCTTCATGGCAATTTCAGAATCAAGCATCTGCGTCTTCGAAATTTCCTGAGTAGCGAGAGCATCCAAGAAGGAGGCCTGGCGTTCAAGATAGGGGTTGTTAGTCTGCTGAGGTCGAGACTGAGGTTGATACAGTTGACGCTGTTGATGTTGATGGTGGTTTTGATGGTTTTGGTGGTCTAGACGGCCCTGGTGATGATGACTCTGATGCTGAGAGTAGGGCTGATGAGAGCGAGGACCTTGAGGCGGAGGTCTATCAAAAGCGTTTGGATCCATGGGTCTAGAATTGGGGTTGCGATGAGGACCCTGAGCACGGAAGTTGTTGTTGTGTGTCTGTGGAGGCGCATAGCGAGGCTGCAGAGGTACTGGACCAGTTGCATTGTGCTGCTGGAGGAATTGAGAGAAATCTTGTTGGCGATCCATGGGTATGTTGTTTGAGTATCGCGGCTGAGCAGTCATGGGTGGAGGCATTCCAAAACCAGGAGGACCTCTCGAAGGATAACCATGAGCCATGTTGGAAGATTGTGGCGGTGCTCGAGAACCGGCTTGTTGATGAGGGCCACCACGGCTAATGATCATGTCTCGTAACTGGTCCTCGAGCTTTTGTGAAGCATAGCTACTACTGCCTTGATCCATCGTGGGCAGATGTGATGGCTTGTGATGTGATGATGAATTGACTCGACAGCATCAGAATTTCTCCTTGCGAGCACCTAGTACACAACAGAGGAGAGACTGTCGATTAGAGAAACTTGCACTCGCGCACGATAATTGTCAAGAGTTGATGATAGGTAGGTGAAGCAGTCGCCGAATCATGAGCGTCACTTGAAAGTGACGACGGCAGACGGAGATGCCAAGACTTTTGAGAACAGCGCTTGGACGATGACATGGCGGCAGGCAGCACATCAGCGAAGGGCGATTCTACAGGCGCTCGACATCCTCGTCGCTGCATACCACATTCCACATTCCTCACGCCCTCTTCGCTGTCGGAAACATCCAAAGTCGACTCGAGCTGCGCCCTTGTCAACACGCACCAGGACCGCCATCACACCCGGATTCGATGCAGAGGTAGAATTGCCGTCACAATCCGAACAAAGACTCCGTCTACTCGGCCGACACGATGAGTGCTCCTCCGCCAGGCGTGAGCCCTGCCTCGCGACAGCCTTCAACCACTCCCAACAATGGTCAAGGCGCCATCCGTCGCAGAAAGCCCACCGGTCCATTTGCGCCAAAGCCCTCTCGCAACCAAGCAAAGCGTCCCCCTGCTCCTCCGCCGCAAAAACTCACCGGTGCCACCAAGCCTCTCGCTGCTGCTGCTGCCGTTCAGTCACAGCCCGAACCCGAGGATGATCCCTCTATGTACAGCGAGATTCCGCTCATGGCGACAAAGAAGGCCCTTCTCGAAGGTCTCCGCTTTCACGCCATCAAGTTCATCTCCAACAACGTCGTCAATCCATACGACAAAGCCCAGTTCGAGCGCCCTGTCAAACTCCATCGCCGTTTTCCTCAGGATACACCCAGTGCGCCTGTTGATGCCAATCCCGAAGACGACAAGGATCGCGAGAAGGAGGCTATCCGGAAGGCAGAGAAGGCTGCAGAAAGAGAAGCCACCCAGGCTCAGATTGCTCCGACAGACAAGGCAGCTGCCGCANAAAAGCGTCAACCTTTCAAGAAGAAGACTGAGGATGTCTACTATCCCACAGACACGCCCGAAGCCCAGAAGCGTGCCAGGTTGCGCTACGAAGAAGGTCGCCCTTGGCATCTTGAAGATTTTGAAAATAAGAACATATGGATTGGTACATACGAAGAACCTCTGTCCGAGTCAAACGTAATGTTTGTATTCGACAATGGCCGCTTCAGAATGGTTCCCATCGAAAAGTGGTACCGCTTCAACCCTACAGGCCGCGTCCCGCTGCTTACCCAGGCGGAAGCTGAAGCTGTCATGGAGAAGCGAGAGAAAGGCCCAAGATGGTTCTTGGAGAATGACCATGGTCGCGAGAAGAAACGTGCCGAGCTTGCAAGGCAAGAACGTCTAACTAGAGGAAGAGTGGGTACTCGAGGTGAGCATCGCGTCAAGGATGAAGACGATGATGGCAACGAGAACGTGGATGTTGCCGATGACGTGGACGAGCTGGACTTTGAAGCCGAGGATGAATTCCAAGACGACGACGAGGGCAAACTATTCGGAGATGACGAGGAGGAAGCCAAAGAAGCTGCATCAAAGATCAAAAAGGAGCGACACGAAGCGAACATCTTTGCTGGCACCGGTGTCAAAGACGAGAAGGATTGGTATGAAGAGGAGCATCTCGAGAAGCAAAGGGAGCGCGACGAGAAGAAAAAAAGCAAAGAAACTGCGTAAGAAGCTGGTCAAGATTGAAAAGAACTACGAGTATGATGATGACGAGAGTGACAATCCATACTCGGAGGAGGCAAGTTTGATTTCTGTTGCTCCTTGTCGAGTCTATTCTAATCGTCATCACAGGAAGAATCCGACGACTCGGATATTGAGCGTCAACGTGAGGAGGACGAACGCAAGAAGGAGGAAGAACTCAAGGCAAATGGTGACAAACAGGCATCTCAGATGTCGACCAACACCAACACACCATCAGGCCGTGCTGAAAAGCATGCTGGTGGTCTGCAGCCAAAACAATCCATGTCAAGCCTCAAGCGTCCTGGCTCACCCAATCTGTCAGAGACCAGTGGCAGTGAGTCGATCAATCACAAGCGCATGAAGAAGCAACACCGACGCGACATGTCGGGAGCTACATCACCTATTGGGCGTCTTGCCGGCTCGGGCAGCGATACGGAGACTGAAAGACGTCCTCGCAACCTGACCTTGAACCCTAGATCCACCCCCGGATCGCCCGGCAACGCGACCCCCATCGGCTCACGCGCCGGCAGCCCCGTACCTATGCCGACGGCGGACGAGATCAGGGCTGCCATTCCTCCTGCTGGTATAAGCATTCCGGAGCTGATCAAGAGATTCAGGGAGCAGGTGCCCAAGACCAAGGAAGGCAACAAGGCCTTTATCCAATTGGTCTTGAGTGTGGCCAAGGCCATGCCCGGCGCCCCCGGCCTTGTCGGTCTGAGATAGATCACAAATAGACACTGATCCTCGTCAAGAGAGATGACAGAAATTGAGAATGGAAGGTCTGCGGTCTGACAACTTACGGCTGAATTGCTTTCTTCGCGTCTCTGCGATATTTGAGCTCATTCTCTTTCAACAGCGGCGTGATACAATGAAAGCATTGACGCTCGTGACTTCGTACTCTAATTGCGTGTTCATCATTTTGGCTAGATGATTATATCCGGCTTTATCGAGCGGGCTGGATGAGAGTGGACCCCTTTATGATCGTCAGGGTAAAATAGTGCATAGTCTGTACATCTCTCCCTGAACATAAGAAGATATACTTTGTCTTCGTCAGTGGCTGGCTGGTTCAGCTGGCGGATAATCGTCCAGGCAGACGGTTAGCAGGTACAGCATTTGTTGAGTCATGTAAGGAGAGGCAGCAGGATTGTAAGGAGTCGTCGAGGTTGAGCTGAAATGCAGGTGGGGGGGAGTGGTGTGTACAGGGCGTCGTGGGACAAGAGGGCCGGCCTCGAAGGCTTTGGAAAGACGGAGAAGTACGATGTAACTCGAACCCCGATCGACATGGTTGATGGCACAAAGTTCACAATAACGGCTCTGTCGGCGTGAGATAGAGTTGGACAATTACGGTCATGGGTAAGACGTTGAGTAGATTTGTAGGCGAGGCAGTGGTCGAGACGCGTATACATGAAACGTGAGATAACAGTGTGGCAATGTTGGATGTAGATGAGGGCATTGTGCGAACTATTGAGCGGTGATTTCGGTTGCAGAGTGGAGTGAGCTGGCTGAGAGAGGCTGAGCTGGTTGGAACGTGCAAGCCAAGTGCGGGAGGAGCGATGGAGCGATGGCCAGGGCTTGACGCTTAAGGCAGGGGGCACGTACTAGGCTATTCCGGGAAACGGCGCGGACGGATATATAAAGCGCGATGCTGCCACGGTGTCTTCTTGGACTGCTTTGTGTGTGCCTTGTCTCTGACCATCAGAGAGTGACTCGGATCGGGAATCGTCATCAGGCAACCGCGCAAACAAAGAAGAGGCCAGCTTTCATCCCCAGATGTAGGCAGTCGCTTTTCCGACTCTACTACATCATGGCCGACGGAGTCGTCTCCCCGCCAGTTCTCCTGGCAGCAACCACTCCAGATCCTCTCAACATGAACACCCCCGACTTTGCTCTCACGCCCTCGACGGCAGCCACCACCGCCCTCGCTACACCCAGCTCCATCCAACACCAACACCAACACGTCCCTCAGTCATCCGCAGCCAAGCCTGCGAAGAAGCGCAAGTCATGGGGCCAGGCGCTCCCCGAACCAAAGACCAACCTCCCACCCCGTAAGCGGGCCAAGACTGCCGACGAGAAGGAGCAGCGTCGCATCGAACGCATCAAGCGCAACCGCGCCGCTGCTCACAACTCTCGGGAACGCAAGCGCCAGGAGGCCGAGCGTCTCGAAGTCGAGAACCACGCCCTCAAACAGCAGATCAACGCCCTGCAACACCAACTCGCCGAGAAGGACGTCACCCTTGACAAGTGCAAGGAGATCATCCCTGGTGGCCTCCCCGAACTCACTCCGGAAGAACTGGCCAACATCAAGGTGCCCGAAGAAAGGTGCATACCATCGTCTGACTCTGCCTACTCGTCGTCATGAGATCTAACCTTCTGCAGCATCGTCTCCCCTTCGTCATCATATGATACCATCGACCCCCGCGCTTCTCTGGCGCCTTCATCCATCAACGAAGACTACATGACGCCATCAATCAAGATGGAGCCCATGTCGCCGGCTTCTCAGATGCACCTCCCCCCTTCGGCTGTCCACAGGACAAGCATCTCGCTCGACCAGACACAACATTCTGCTGCGATGTTGTGCGACCTGCAGTGTCGGTCGAGCGAGAACCACAGCCGTTCAAGGTGGAGTCTGACTATAATCTATTTGATGCATCTGAACATCATGACCTTCTACAAGAGTCTCATGGTAGCTTCGTGGACCTTATGGCCGACTCGTATGGCCACGATGATGACTCAGGTCTCAGCCACTTTGACAACCTCATCGAATACGATGATGTCCACTCCAACTACACGACGAACGCTACGACCACTGACGGCGGCGACGACCTCTTCAACCTCTCCAACTATGGCCTCAAGGACACTTTTCTTGCTCCTGAGCTTACTCTCGCATCGGCTCCCAACCTCTGTGACTTCAGCGCAACTTTTTGCGACGGGTCCTAGGTTCCCGGGTGTTAGCGCTCTCCAAGCGCTGCCTATTTCCGAGAGCGAGAGCAAGCAGGAAAAGGAAGTGTTTGAGAGAGACTTTGCCGAGATTTTGAGAGACGTGGCGGCCAACGGTTATCTAAGGCGTTCTGGGAGTAATGGGGGCACTTTGGGAAAGTCATCGTCCGAAGAGCGAAAGGACTCTGGCGGGATTGGATGAACTCTTTTATCATTTTCTTGTGATGCATGACGACCAACAACAAAAAGCACAAAAGGTGTGCCTGGTAGCTTGAAGCACAAGGGCACAGTCTTCTTTTCTCTTTACAGGCGGGACAACGTGTACTTTTATAGAACCAGAGTCCAAGGACTGTATCGACTTGATTCGAAACGAGCGACTCTGTGAATCGTGCATTGCTATGGATTATGATGGCATAACAGGTTAATAAGGGAGAGGAGTCGATTGCAGGCCTGTGACTGTGTTTTGTAGTCGACGAGGATGTTGTTAAAGGTGCGTGAGTCGGTGGCTGATGTCAGTCGGCTGAAGTGATGAGATTGAGATCCCCACATTCTTGGCACGTTCATACGGGGCCAGCGGGATGGGAGATTGTTGGCTGCTCGGCAGTGACCTCTTCGGCCTCTCCCAGGAGTAGCTTGACTGGAGTGACATGCTCTGACTCGAGACTGTGAATTGATGCCTGCAGAAGGTCCTCGAGACTCGCCCAACACGCACAGCTCCGACGACTCTTGACCTCGTCTCTCCTGGATCGAGAGACTCTGTACCCCTCGACATCATCTCAGACGCTCATTCGGATAGAGACCTACACACACCATGTCGTCGTCAGGTAGCGGCCTGTTCAACCGCGGTGGTGGGAGCGGCAACCAGAACACGATGCGTGGCTTGGTGTCGTTCATTGCCGACCTGAGAAACGCCCGCGCCCGAGAACTCGAGGAGAAGCGCATCAACAAAGAGCTGGCAAACATACGATCAAAGTTCAAGCAGGGCGGCTTGAGTGGCTACGACAAGAAGAAATACGTGTGCAAGCTGCTCTACATCTACATTCTGGGCTGGAACGTCGACTTTGGCCATCTCGAGGCCGTCAACCTCGTCTCGGCCACAAAGTACTCGGAGAAGCAGATTGGTTACTTGGCTGTCACGCTGTTCCTGCACGAAGAACATGAGCTGCTGCATCTGGTTGTCAACAGCATTCGCAAGGACTTGGCCGACATCAACGAACTCAACAACTGCTTGGCTCTGCACGCCATTGCCAATGTTGGAGGAAAGGAGATGGGCGAAGCCCTGGCCTTTGACGTCCACAGACTACTCATTTCTCCGTAAGTCAAGCCTTGTACCCTCTACAACCAACCTGCTCCTGACATGCACACAGCANCATCCAAACCATTCGTCAAGAAGAAGGCCGCTCTAACTCTCCTGCGACTCTACCGTAAAGCACCCAGCATTGTACAGGCCGAATGGGCAGAGCGCATCATATCCATCATGGACGACACAGACATGGGTGTTGCTCTCTCTGTCACATCACTCGTCATGAAGCTTGCCCAGGATGACCCCGATCAGTACAAGGGTAGTTACGTCAAGGCCGCTCAACGCTTACAAAAGGTCGTCGTCGAGCACGAATGCGCTGGTGACTACTATTACTACAAAGTACCTTGCCCCTGGATACAGGTCAAGCTTCTGCGCTTGATGCAATACTTCCCTCCCTCAGACGACTCGCATGTACGCGCTCTGATCCGCGAGTCTTTACAAAAGATCATGGACAACGCCATGGAGGCTCCCAAAAATGTCCAGCAAAACAATGCCCAGAATGCCGTTCTCTTCGAAGCCATCAACCTCACCATCCATCTCGACACAGAGCAAGAATTGATGATGCAGATTTCCTCGAGGCTGGGCAAATTCATCCAATCCAGAGAAACCAACGTACGCTACCTCGGTTTGGAAGCCATGACCCATCTGGCTGCACGTTCCGAGAACCTTGATCCCATCAAGAAACATCAGAGCATCATTGTCGGATCTTTGCGCGATCGCGACATCAGTGTGAGGAGGCAAGGTCTCGATCTGCTCTACAGCATGTGCGACACAACAAATGCTAAGCCCATTGTTGGTGAGCTCTTGAAATACTTGCAGACCGCCGATTATGCCATCCGCGAAGAGATGGTACTCAAGATTGCAATCTTGACCGAAAAGTACGCCACCGACATCCAGTGGTACGTCGACATTTCACTAAGACTGATTGCCATGGCTGGTGATCACGTCAGCGATGAGGTGTGGCAGAGAATTATCATGATTGTTACCAACAATGATGAGCTCCAAGTATATGCTGCATCCAACATTCTCGAGTATCTTCGTGCAGAGCAATGTCATGAGATGCTTGTCAAGATTGGCAGTTACCTGCTAGGAGAGTTTGGTCACTTGATCGCCGATAGCCCCAAGTGCAGTCCCATTGAACAATTTATGGCATTGCAGTCAAAGTTTAATGGCAGCTCGTCGAGTACACGCGCCATGATGCTATCTGCGTTCATCAAATTCGTCAACCTCTTCCCCGAGATCAAGCCCCAGCTTCTGCAGGCTTTCAAGACATATAGTCATACTCTGGACTCTGAGCTTCAACAGCGCGCATGCGAGTATCTAACATTGGCAACAATGCCAACAGACGACTTGCTTCGAACCGTCATGGATGAGATGCCTCCTTTCCCTGAACGTGCTTCTGCATTGCTTTCTAGACTACACTCTAGACAGCATAACACAACAGACAAGCGCACATGGGTAGCGGGTGGCAAGGACGCGAACAAGGACCTCAACGAGCGAAACAACACCCTGAAACGTACTTTCAGCGCTGGTAATACTCTTGATACGACGGCTCCAGCACAGTCACCCACCAAAGCCAACGGCAGCAAAACACCAGCAGACGAACTCGCCGGCCTGGACTGGGGCACAGAAACAAAAACGCCAAACTTTGCCAGTGCAGATCACTTGTCACCAGGTTGGGAACGTGGCCACGCTCGCATGCTCATGGTACCCGAAGGCATCCTCTACGAAGACAGCCAAGTCCAAGTCGGCGTCCGCTCAGAGTACCGCGGCGAACTGGGCTGTATAATCCTCTACTTTACCAACAAATCTTCTTTCGCCATCAACTCTTTTACCACAACCCTCAACAACCCTTCCACCGAGCATATCAAAATCGATGTAAAGTCGCTACCAGAGACTACAGTCCAGCCTTCGACACAAACACAAGCAATGATCATGCTAGAAGCCAAAACCGTCTTCACCCTCGCCCCCACCATTCGTATCTCCTGGCTCGCAGGCGCCCTTCAAGCACTAACGTTGCAGTTACCTCTTGCCATCCACAAATACCTTGAACCTGCTTCTCTATCTGCCGACGACTTTTTCAAGCGCTGGAAACAGATTGGCGGGCCTGGTCCCCGTGAAGCCCAACGTATCTTCGCTGGTAAGGATGTTGCGCCGGTGCCTACACGCCGCATTCTTGAAGGGTTCAAGTGGGGTGTGCTTGATGATGTGGACCCGAACAAGAAGAATTTTGTTGCGGCGAGTGTGTTGCATACGAGTCAGGCGGGCAAGGTTGGGTGTTTGATTCGATTGGAGCCGAATACCAACAATGGGGTATGTTTTGACCTTTGTGCCGTCTCTGACAATGATCTGGATGGTGATGCTGACTTTGAATTCAGANTGTATCGACTCACCATCAGAGCAACTGACGAGTCTGTCCCTGCGGTTCTTATGGAGGCCATGGAGAAGAGATTGGCTCTGGGCGAAGCACCTTTCTATCCACCATAGATGGCACACATCCTCGCCGAAAGAGAGTAAAAAGTCTCATTTTCACTATCAACCCTCTTCCTTCACTTCTTCTTTACCACTTGTTCTTTTTTTATCTTTCCAAAGATTTCTTGACCTTGAGCATTGCTTGCTGTTCTTCGCCTCTCGTTTTGATGTGCTGACATACATGTAACCATAAAAATGCATAATGTGTTTCGGGAACAAAGACATTCCGCTGAGAAAATGTTCTAAGTCTTGGTAGTCTCTGTGGACCCATCTCTGTTGTTTGCATATCTTTGTGCACTTCTACAGTTAAACTCATCACTTTGATGTATCAATTAAACAATCGGTCCTCTGCTTGGACCAAGAGTTCAGTTGCATTCCTCCTCTTCCTTCTTTAGCTGCATCTGCATATGCAAACTTCTGGTATGATTTTTTCTCTGTTTCTTACAGTCTCTCTGTCATCTCCTGATCACTTGTTTAAAAGGTCGCGACACTAAACGAAAGACTTGGTTCGCATGAAGGTGACGACTGGCGCTGCTGCCGCTCACCTTCATGTCTTGGTCATCGTCGTTGATACACCATAGACAGAGAGGATGATCGTGGTGGATACGAAATCTTACGCTACTTACCTCTACGTCTCGGTTATTGCCAATCATTCATTTCGTGTAAGAGAGGACGACCGTCGCTTGCCTATACAATCCGATCAATCTCAAAAGTCCCAATTGGACAAGCCACTCGCACCTTTCCACTCCCAGCACGCAGTCTCTTTTCCAGACGAGCTCTCCGATCTAATCAAGAACCGGTCTACTGCATCAGCCTTCTCCCAATATCTAGTCTCTAAACCCAAGCTCCGTCTTCCTTTTCTGAAACCAAGTTTCCGCCCCCATGGTGATTTTCTCTCGTCGCCAATCAAGAAAGTCACCAACTGAGAAATCTTGCCCAAAATCGTCAAGGCAGCGATCTTTCCAATCCGCAAAAGATCCGCCCCCCCCCCCCCCCCCCCCCCCCCCCCCCCCCCCAAGGCCAAAGCAAAACAAAACTCGACAAGACTTTGGAAGCAAGGAAGAAAAGAAAAAGCAAAAAAGAAAAGAAAAAAAGAATCTTTGTTGAAACGATTATATCTCAAGAGAATATGGGAGAGCAACCGACCGAAGACTCTGGCCTAGGCAGAATGAAACAGGCTATGACTTGAAAACTCAAGAATCTCCATCTTGCAGTCAACCCCAAAAATCAAACATTCACTGGATTGCAGATCAAAATCTCACCGAGCTTGATACCTATACTCATTAAAGGTTGTGTATAAGCAAAAGGTCTTCTCAAGTTTTCATCCAAATGTCTCAGTCTCTCTGCCTTGTTTTCTGCTAAGCGAGCCTCAAGGCAAGTACTCCACACAATAGAAACTTTCCTGACACCAATGATAATATCCTTGAAGCACGACAGAGATCTGGAAATCCAACAAATGCTGTGTGTGGTCTTCATTGCCTGTCTTTGCCCCTGGACTTTACTCCAATACTGGCCAGTACTTTCACGTAGAGCTTGTGGAGATGCGGGAATGTTTTGTTCAGTTTGGGAAAGGTTCAGTGAGATACTTGCCCTGAGTCTGCGAATGTGAGAGGACGTCGACAATGACCTCTTTCCCCTTACAGATCATGCATATCGCTTTCCTTCTTGTTCCACATCAGAATGACATTTCAACCAGCGGATTCTGGAGCGATGTACATCTCGTCACAGCTCTTACTACAATCACCGAGAGATGCTCCAGGCAAACACAAAAACACAAAATTGGCTCAGATGCTTTTTGTCATTTCGAAAATAAAGAGATATACAGAAAACGCTCCACACTTTCTAGCAACTTTTCTCTAATGCAGGAAAGAAAGAGTCTAATCAACGCGAAGGACTCTGGGGCCCTTGCGCTTGCTAGTCTTCTTTCTCTTGTTGCCCTTTTCAAATGCCATGGCGCTCTGATGGTCTCTGTTGAGGTTGTCAAGGTCCTTGACCTTGTAGATTCTGATGATCCAGTTCTCACTGGTGAAGGCTTCCTCCAGAGTGGAGAGTTCGGGACCCTCAGCGGGAAGCTTGGAACCGCGGACGCGGTCGGTGGCCTGACCAGCAGGGAAGAGCGAGTTGTAGTTGTAGTATGACATCTTGTACATCAAGCTGTTCTTCATGGTGTCGGAAGCTTGGTCGTCAATGCGGTACTCACCACGAGCGGTGAAGTAATCACGCTCCTTGATCTCATCGGGCCAGATACCCTCGGCGATACGGACCATCCACAAGAACTTGTTGATGTCGTCGCCCGAGTAACCGATCAGACCACCAAAGACGACAAGGACATAGTCGACTTCGTGCTGTCTCATGATGGGGTAGCTGACCTCTTCGCGCGAGCTCATGGCCTTGCCGACAGTGGCAATGTGGGTGTTGTTCCAAGTGTTGTTGTCGACAAGGGTAGGACGGTCGGCCATACCACCAATCTGGTAACCGTAATCCCACCAGGACATGATCTTGGCGTTTTGCTCGGTGTTCTGACGGAGCCAGTAGTATGCCTCACGGTAGTCGTCGATAATGTGCTGCGAGCCATCGGCCATCTTGGAAGCCAGGACGACCGAAGGAGACGAGTAGGCGTTCGAGGTGACCCAGGTGCAGTGGAGAACGAAGAGCAGAAGGTAGGCGGTGATGGTACCGCTCATGGCAAACTTGGAGAAGTTCGAGTAGATACCAACAAGAGGCTTCTGGGTAGAGCGCAAAGTGTCGGGGATCAGGGAAGCAGCCGTCTTGGCGACATCGGTGTTGCCATTGGCCTGAGCGGGAGGAGCATCAGGGGTCTTGGTGACAAGGAAGGTGTCGAGGATTTGAGAGAGAGCAAGGGCGGCGGCAACACAGACGACGGGGGTCAGAGTAAGCATCAGACGGACCATGACACCAGCAAAGTAACTGGCCAAGACGGCGTAGATGACAACAAAGACCTGCTCGTCCTTGAGGTTGCGGAAGCACATGTAGACACCAGCGGGGAACAGCCAGATCAACAGATTAAGGTCGAAGAAGAAGGCGGGCCAGGCGGTAGGCTGGTGCTCCGAGACGGATGCAATGATGGGAATGTGAATCTTGGCGTATCCGGTATCCCAGAGCGAGTAGAAACGACCACCCCAGGGTGCGACGACGCCAGAGAAGGTGAGAAGAACGAGCACTCCGAATGCTGCAAGGAAGACGACCAGGACAAAGGCGCGGAGCAGCGTCTGGAACTGCTTGCTAGGCAGAGTCTGGCGCACAAACTCGACGAATCCGACAAGCTGAAGAAGGCCGAAGACACCNTGAGAGCAGGGTTAGGAGAGAAGGTTGAATGGAGAAAACGACAACATACCGAGAGCAGCCATGTGGTCGCTGGTACGGATGGGCAAGAAACCGACAAAGGGAATCTGCATGCTCGCAAGCGTGCCCAGAGCGTACCAGGTCGTGTAACTGACGTACAGACGAGGGCTGTATCTGCCCATGCACAGCAGGACGAAGACGTGGAGAGGAAGCAAGTTGGTGATGAAGACATAACCACCCCAGGCCGAGACCATGTAGCCATAGAAGAGGGCAGTAAAGGCGCCCCACATGACGGAACCCTCCTTGACACTCTTGATCCATAGGTAGAAGGTGAAGACGAGGAGAAAGATGGCAATGGCTTCGTTGTCGTAACTGCCAGCGACGGAACGGGAGATGTAGCCAGGGGCAATGCCCATGAAGATGGCGGCAAGGAGACCGGCCGAGGGCGAGTCGGACATTTCCGAGGTCAAGAGATAGGCGGCAAAGGCAGTCAAGCCAGAGCATGCGGGAGCCAGCATGACACAAATGTTGCGAATGTCGACGGGGAAGGTCAGGAGACGGAGGAAGTGGTAGATGGCGCCGCTGGTGACCATGAGGCCAGGGTAGAGGGTACCGCCGGTGACACGGCCGAGAGGGTGCCATGTGCGGTCGTCGAACCAGTCCCAGAAGCTGGTGAAGCCATTCTGAACGAGGTACTTGGTTGCGCGGAAGTTGAACCAGGGGTCGACTNNGTGGGAGAGGGTTGTTAGCGGTGGTGTCTATCGAGTCTGTGTGGATTGGAAGACGAGTCTGTTTGGATGGAAGTGCTAGAAGATAGAATTGGGTTCCAGGAGATGGATTGAGGGAAACAAGGCAAGACTGGGCATCGACAGGAGACACGACTGAGGGAAGTCGCGAGTTGACGTACATTCGTGAATGATGCTCTCGAAGCGGATGACGGAGAAGAGACGAGAGGCCACGGCGGTTGCTGCAATCAGGACCAGGATGATCAATCGCAGCAGACCTCTGGTGTTGCGACCAGTCTCTCCCTTGAAAAAGGAGCTTCCCACGCTGGCTGCCATGGTTGCTGTATGCTGGGTTGGTATTGAAAGCTGGCAGGCACAAGCACAACGGACACCTAAGCTTCACCTTCACCCCAAGCATGCGCGTCAATGTCCCGAACCACCGACCCCCGACCGACCAACTCGACCCGGCAAAGTCCGCTCGACCTCCGCATCTCAAGACCTCTCCGCCGCTCAGAATGTTTGCTGCAACTCATGACATCTCAAGAATATGCTGAAGACATGTTACGATAGTAAACAGTTGACACGTCTGCATTCTGTCGTGCTCTGAGATGAATGCATCTGAATCTGCCTATCAACCGAAATCGCTCGTTCCTCCACCGTACGCCGAACTCTCATGTGAATACGCAAAGCTGCAATCTGACATATCCTCCCATCCTCCATCCGCGCTGTTGTGTCGACCACTGACCTCGGGGTACCCGTATTGTGTGGCTGGCAACCCGTTCGGATACTTCAGCACCACATTAGGGACTAGAGTGTTTGCAACTCTGCTTGGTCTGACTGAAGTCACCATCTCGGCAGCTTCATTAGGCATGTCATCCAAGTAGCCTGGAACATTCGTCTGCCAAAGCGGTATCGCTACCTGTGCTGCTTCAGGCTGTACTGTAGTCTCGACATGCTGTGGCATTGTTGCTTGTCTCGACTGGTTGTTAGCGCGTTGCTTTCCTTTACTCCTGTTCATTGCTTGTGCACTCTTAGCACGAGCAAGTTGCGCCATCTCTGCTGGTGTCGGTGTCATCTCTGATCTATACACTCTGTTCAGTACACTACACAACATCAAAGTAAAACTGTCGACTCACCTTGCGACAAGCTGGTCGATATCCATGCCTACGTGTTTGTGCATTCGACCGATATGCGCCTTGAAGTTGTCTTTTCGAGACCATATCTTTTCGCGCTTGGAACAAGTTGGTAGCACGCATCTGTAGTATGACTGAGGTCCGTGCTTTGGCTTGATTAGATGGATGTCCTTCTGGTGCCGTTCCAAATCATTGGATGTCGCAAATCCTTTCGTGTTTGTGCAGTTCTTGACACCACACTTGAATGGCCGACTGTGTGTCGAAGAATGCTTTNNCTACACAACGTTAGTTCGACTGCAACTAACACGGACGTACGTAGAGGCGCCTCACTTCTCTTCGGCCTTGTTCTTGAATGACTTGCCGCACTGGAGGCAGACCAGGGGCTGGTAGTTTAGCGACGCATACCCAGAGTCTGTCTCGTCCATCTGGACGTCTATGTGAATGGGCTGCTGAGCAATGATGGTTTGCGACAACGTCGATGTGGTTGAAAGAGTCATGGAACTGCTCATCCTGGTCCAGGGCCCTGCGTACGCACTTTCAGCCACGCGCCGCTGTACAAGATCCTCGTTGTACTGAAAAGCTTCTCCGCTACCAAATCCATAGTTGGCGTGTGAGATTACGCCTGGTTCATACAGCCCGACATAGATTGATGGATCCACACAGATGCTGCTCAAGGGGTCTTCGGCCGAATCTCCCTCATCTCGGGGGGATCGTGTAAGGCCTTTCGGACGATTCCTTTGATGTGGGTTAGCGCGATCCCGTACAACCCGCTCGCACAAAGCAAGTTGATCTAAAGGAACAGCCGTGGATGGGTAGCGCAAGTATTCAGAAACACCGAGGAGACGCTACTTGCCATGGAACAATCGTTGGACTCGAAAAAGGAAGCCATTTGTACGAATCTATGTGCACACCGAAACTAAAGAGCTGTTGGAGGGGATCTTGTAGTTGAGCTTTCAAGGCGATGGGCGGGGCATTGCGAAGAGGCGGTGTCGAATGTGATCGGGGTTAATTGGTCCTTTTAAGTGGTGCTGGTCGAGCGGATACAGTGTCGTGTATTCGCATGTGGATTCATATAGAACCGGCAAGCACCCTCAACAGAAGTACCAGACCACGGCCTGACCATGCTGCTGAAATTAGGTGTCGCGATGAAGACTTGGAATACTCGGAGTGTCTCAAGGGTGGGGTTCGGGATCGAGTTTCCTTGGGTCATGAGGTTGCATCCACACTGAGGAATCGTGACATGGCAGTCGGGGATGAGTACCGATTGGCTGTAGGGTTAGGCTTGTTCAACACTCCAATAATCCAGGATAAGCAAGTAATTTGAAAAGATGCTGCATTCAACGTACAACTTTGTGGTATATAACGTTTACGGACATGGTCGACATGTGGGTTTGAGCACGTCGGACGGCACAGGCACAAACAGAGCGTGCATGACAGTTATGCTGCCAGCTCGAAACGGCCCAAAAACATGACGAATATTGGGTGATCGCATACAGCCTTGTTCTCGCTTGACACGATTGGGTACGGGGTTGCCTACTCTCTCTTCTCATCGACAAACTTGGTGTCCTTTGGCTTGTCCGCTATCGGACGCTCCTTGCTCGCAAAGTCCCAGTTGTTCAAGTAGCCGCAACCCGCTGACAGGTAGGTTGCAAAGCCAAGCCAGCCGAGGTAGGGAGCAAGAGTCCATGCAGCAACCTCGTCAACTTGGCCCCAAATGTAGGCAAGGTATCCGGTGACGCCGGTGAGGGCAACAATGTCGACGGTGGCAGCAACCGGGCGCTTCAGGGAGAAGAAGAGGGGCATCCAGATGAGGTTAAGAGCGAGTTGGATTGTGTAGAGGGTTGCGCCTTGCNNTGTGACGGAATGAGTATGGGTACGGACTTGGATTCGGGCTGCAAGTACCTTTGCAAGAAGAACCTTCTTTGCATCAAACGAGTTCATGGCAGTCGACCAGGCGCGGAAAGCGGCGTATCCCATGGCTCCGTACAACATGGTCCATACCGGGCCGAAGACCCATGGAGGAGGTCTAAGGGGAGGCTGACGCAGGGCGAGATAGGTCTTTTGCGTCTCCTTGGCTGTTGCAGCAGGTTAGGGTCAGTATCGAGTCTGACAATGGTCTGCAGGTGCATGTGTCGACTCACGTCTGGTCGAGTAGCCAACAGCAGTTCCGAGTGCGACGGGCAGCAGGACGGAGACGGCCGGCTTTTCAAAGATGAACGAAGGCAGCGTCAAGTGGGGGATGTAGGAGGTCATGTTGGCGGGTGCTGATGCAGGAGAAAACAGGAAAGTCTGGACCAGGAGAGCGAGAAACGGACTCTTTGTTGCTGTAGAGAGTCTCCTGGATTAATCAATCGCAGCGATCGGGAGACTCAGAGACGCGAATCGAACCATGACGCTCCTTCCCCGGCCAAACGAAACAGCAGCCCTTCAACCGTCGGAGTCGGAGCCCGCCATGGGAAGCTGCCACTCAGCGCTGTCGTTTTCTTAGAGACTCACTCGACATCTCTTCATACTTATAGTTCAATTCTCCATCAAGAGAGTGGATGTGCTTCAGTGTGGAATTGAGCACTCAATGACCAGAAGGATGGAGCGTCTTCACCCGAAACACGTTCGATTGCTTGATTGAGCTTTCCCCAGCTTGAGATGCGACAGCGGCGGGGTCCGTGCCTGAACTGATGATAGCGTCTCTTGGCTCGATGATTAGCGCCGACTTGCGGTCCGCGCCTGGAGTCGGGAGGCTCGACATGGCCAGCATCACTCGCTCTCGGTGCTCTCCAACCTTCTGGTCGACAGCATCCAATTCTTCATTGATGCGTCGCCGTCTCTCGGCTTCTGTCCTGCCCAAATTGTTCGTATCGTCTCTCTTCTTTCCGCGAGACCTCTAGCCAACCCGCGTCTTCGTCGAGTTGTCGCGTCTGCTCAACCTCAACCTCCCTATCACCATGCACTCGCCGACTCGCTACATCGTTATTNCAAATGCCTCACTGCAACATGCCCTGATACACTCACTCTCTTTGCTCCCCGAGTCTTTCTTGTTTCGTTCCACTCTCTCAACCTCTCCTGAACGAGCTCTAACCAATCATGGCCGTAATCAGTGCGCAAGAGTCGCTTTGTTGAACTTCTCTCACAACATGGACGCCTTCGATACATACCCCAACAAGTCGCCCAACGATCTCTCTAGGGTCGACAGCTACGACCGCGAGTCTTACAACTCCCGTGAGAGGGACCCATACCGTGAACGACGCAGGTCGCCGAGTACGCCANACACAATCTCGATGCTATACCATAGACCATTGGCTTACATGCTCTTCACAGACTCGGACCGACGTGCTCGCCAAGCTGGCCGTAATCGCTCCCGCTCTCCCACACAGATCGACCGCTATCAGCCTGATCGTTCGCGCGACGACTACTACCGTGGACGTGAGGACTATCCTCGCGACAGACGCCGCTCGTCTCCTCAAATCCAACCTGGTGCTCCANAAAACATTGATCGTTACATTCCCGGCGACGATGCCGCCCTTCCAAGGGCCATCCCAGTAAACCAACTCAGAGATCCTCTGCTGGAAGCCTCACAAGTCGGATTTAGTTACTTCGCCGAGTGGTGGAAAGCCGAGCAAGAGATCAAACAACAGCGTGAGCGTCAAAAGAACGGAGGTCGTCGTCCTGAGCCCGTCAAGGAATCACGCGACGAACAGCGATCAAAGATACAAAATGCTTATGACCAGTACAAGCTGAACTGGAACACAAGAATGGCCAAGCTGTTCGTTCATGGTCACAAGTACGACACATGGTTCCGTGAACGCTACGTGCCAGAAGTTCGCGATCCTCTGCGCCAAAAGGTTCTCGACTTCAGACGCGATCTCTTCGCTCGGTGGGACTCGGACTTGACGGCTGGTACCTTTGACGAGTTCACCCTCGAGGGCATCTACAAAAGCGAAAGCAACGGTGCTGGAGGTATCGTCGAGAAAGAGGAAGGAGAGACCAGCGCTGCAGCAGAGGTCCTGGCCGTGTCAGATCTGTTGCCCTCCAAGGGCGGTGATGTACGGGACCCGGTCGCTTTTCAGCCAACATTGCTCGTCAAGACTATCACTCCGGCTGTCTCGCGCGAGCGAATGGAAGAATTCTGCAAGGAACATCTCGGTGAGGGCGAGGGTGGCTATAAATGGCTGAGCCTGAGCGATCCAAACCCGGGAAAAAAGTTCCACCGTCTTGGTTGGATCATGCTCAATCCTGCATCTGAGGTGTCTGAAGAAGATACCAAGCGTCGTGGAAGCCGAGACGACGATGACCAAGACGCTGATGGAGGTGCCATGGATCAAGACAAGCCAAGCCACGCTCAGAGCATTTGCGAAAGGGCTTTGAATGAGATCAACAACAAGACGATTCAAGACCCCGAAAAGGGCGACTTTACTGTTCATGTTGGTATTCATCATCCTCAAGAGAACCCTAGGAAGAAGGCCCTGTGGGATCTCTTCTCTGCTCCCGAGCGTGTTGAACGCGATCTGGATCTCGCTCTTCGCCTGGTCAGGCAACTCGACTCCGAGATGGGTGATGACTATGATGGTGTTGGCAAGATCGAGCAGCGTGTTGACGAGCTGGCTGGCAAAGGTTACTTGCAACCGCCTATTCCTGCCCCCAAGGTCGTCAAAGAAGAAGACATGGATGACGACGAGATGGAAGAAGGTGAAGAAGACGAAGGCGGCGTTGACGAAGACGTGGACGATGAAGAGCTGTTGATCAAGAAGAAGAAACTTGACCTGCTCGTCGAATACCTTCGCCGTGTCTACAACTTCTGCTTCTATTGCGTGTTCGAGTGCGACTCAGTGCACGAGTTGCAGCGAANNAAGTGTGCAGGAGGCCATCTTCGTCGTCCCCGTGCAAGTCTCACTTCGGCGGCCAAAGAAACTGCCAGAGCCACCGCGAATGGAGACCCATTCCCACTCAAGCGTCAAGAAAGTGGTCCTGGAGACGAAGACGGTTCACCGGTCGAGGAGAGAAAATCTGCTCCTCGAGCATACGGTAAGAACCAGCTTCAGAAGGCATACAACTGGGTCAAGACTTTCGAAGAAAAGTTGCTCATGATTCTCGAGCCTTACAACGTCGACCTTAGAAAACTCGGAGGCAAGCCTGTGGAAGAGGGCCTTGAGGAAGACATGAGCAAGTTCGTAAAACAGGAGGACGAGTTCAAGTTCAGATGCAAGGTCCCCGAGTGTACGAAGCTCTTCAAGGGTGAAAACTTCTGGAAAAAGCACGTGGAGAAGAGGCATCAGGACTGGCACGACAAACTCAAGGAAGACGTAAGTGACATAACTCATGAGCAAGGGCAGTCACTGATTTTGATACAGATTGAGCTTGTCAACCGCTACGTGCTTGATCCTGCCAGACTTGCACAGGGACGCAACGATGCTAGCAGCAACGGACATTTCCCTGTTAACAACAACATGCCTACGGGCACACCTCGAAACTTCAGCTTGAACAACATGCCCTTCTTCAACAATGGAATGCCCATGCCAAACGCAGGCGGACCTCCTGGCTTCAATCCATTTGTCCCTGGACAGTTCCCTCTCACTATGCCCGGTTGGAACATGCAGGGCGGTGAGCGTGGAGCTGGACCGATGAGAACAGGCGGTATGCGCACCAACAATGCTCGGGCACCAGGCCCATACGATCGTGGTATGAGGGTCGAGCCACGACGAAGCATCAGCGGCCGCCTGACGCCACCTCGTCGGGGCATGTTCATGGAGGGAGGAGAGCACACTGTTGGACCTAGACAAGCAGTCGAGGGTCGCACGATGAAGAGCTATAATGACCTCGATGCCGCTGGCAGTGCTGGAGGAGCAGAAGAGCTCAACTACTAAAAAGGGGTAGGTGTACGTAGTTGGTCGCTGATCGTACTCTTGCGAGTCGCAATTGAAAATGACCCTTCCACTATGATTTTCCTGTCCTTGACGTGGCTCTGACCTTTTAAATGTCTTCTTTTGGTTGCTGTCTGAGCATTTAATGATGATCACATCAATCGGCCAGTCTTGAGTATGTACGCTTTTGGGGAAGAACCGAGCGTCATAATTTATGTCAGGACTAGGCGACAACAACATGTTTTGCTCGCACGAATGACCCGTGATAGCCTCGTCATACACACAAAGCACTAATCCCAGGTTTCTTCTGAAGACAAACACATGTCGTGGTCGTGTCAAGTGGTCAACAGACTTTCCAATCGTCATTAGGGGTACGACCCTGTCCCTCGTCCGATATCCCGACCATTTTCTTGTCCGCCAAGTCTGACGGGTTTTCGGCACTCACAATTACTTTGCGTCATGCCTATGCCCAGACGAAGGAGCCCTTGTTATTTCCAAGTTTGGCTCGGCAGCCGCGGACAAGGAGATGGTGATGGGTTCTGGCGAACGCTCTTGGACCAAGCTTTTGGTGGGGGCTGTTTGCTGCTTGTAAGTTGTGGCTGGTGAGAGATCGTGGCAGTTCACGAATGATTTGCAGGAGTGGAGATGCGGATAGATCTACGCAGAGGGTTTAGGGACTGCTGTCTCGAGTCTCATATGGACAACGTAGAATTGACGAATGATAGCCCGGGCGAGTATCTTGAGAGTGGTCAGTATTGGGTATTGCGAACAAAGAAACTGCCTGTCAGCTGCGTCGTCATGTCCCAAGGGAAAAATGATTGCGAGGTGAGGCTTGGCTGGAAACAGCGGCCAAATGGGTGTTTAGCCTGCCTGAGGCTCCGAGCAAAGCCCCGGGTAGACAAGCCCATGGCAGCATGTCTATTATCTGAGGATGACCACCTTCAACTTGAGCAGAGCTATAGAAATGCAGATTACCGTGATTATAGAGTGTATATGCTCGAGAGATGTCAGTTAGACTGCCTGATGAGAAGTCGCAAACAGGGCGAAAGGTGACAGTGGTCTCTTCGCAGGAGCGGGCTCTGACTCGGGGGTCTTACTTACCTCATCTGGACCAAACCGTCGTCATAAGGTTGCGTACGCGTATCATGCATGGATACGCTCTCAGCAAAGCAACAACATTTACTTTATACGCATAGAAGCGCTCGAGATTGCAGCCATCAATTTAGCAGCCTAGCACGATAATATGAATAGTTCAGGCCCAAACTCCGCCCCACGTCAGCCACGCTTGGAGCGCTTCAACACGGCGCCAGAGGATCCCATAGAAGAAGGCCTCGTCCAGCCGGTTGCTGTGTCGCCGCAATCCACTCGCGTCAACATGAACCGCTCATCTGCATCCAC